CTTCCAGATCAAGTTTTAATCAGACGAGTGTCTGTAGTTACCTACATTTTTATGTAGTATAGTAATTATATTTACGATATATAATTTGGGCCCTTTAAATTGTACATAAATAAGCACTTTCCACAATTATAACTTTTAAATATAATATTTTAGATATTAATATTTACAGGAACAGTGTAATATTGAAATAAATAAACTGTGCGAATCATGCAATTTTTAACATCTTATCTCTTTAAACAAAAATACAATTTGCGATTTGAACTACAGACCACCCTATTAGCAAAGTGACATTATTTTTCTTCGCACATAATTAGGGACGCATCCAATGCCAATTAACTAAAGTGGGACCTTGTTTCCGGGCAATATGTTTTATTTTTTTCTAATGTTTTTTCTTACACTTCCTTTTGATGTCATTATGGCTAAATACGATAACATTTTACCATGAACTAAAAAAACTTTTACCATAGACAATACTCAATAGCATGTGTTTAATATATTTTTTAAAACATTGCTCTTACTTTAGAATAACATTATCCTGTGTTGTAAGGACGTTTTACAAACATAAATTTCACTTCGGCAAACACCTAGATGCGAAACAATTATATGTGGGTCACATAAATAGTTGTTCCGTGTGATCCAACTTCATAAGTTCGATCCCAACGCCGAAGCCAATACTTTGGCAACTGCACCCGGGATCATCGTAATCCTGGTTACGCATTATTTATCATGTTGTATTGGTACTATATTCTATGCAAGAAACGTTGTAGTAGATGTATTTTCGACTGCTATATTATGTATTTTTGTGTTCATAAAATATGTAAGCATAATTAACCTAAACACGAATCAACATGTGCCTTCCGCTGCTCTAAGACCCGGCTCGGGAAGCGGCCATTACAGGAAACGTATGCAAAGTCGGGTAATAAAACGCCATTGTGGGCAGGCGCTTCCCGCTTACCCGGCGCACGGGCCCGTCGGTTATCCGGCGCGAAGAAAGCCGCCAATTGCCGCCGTTGCCAACGACAATCCACTCTATATAAACCGTATCCTTTCCTTTATGAACGCTCAACGGATCCCACATCGCTCGGTGCGTTCTCAACAGTGATATTATATACGAATACGAGGTTGATATGAGTGTCATATTGCGCACCGAAATTGACGTAATTAATTTACCCCAATTGGTAATTAGATTGCCATTCCATAGACTGATATCTCTTTCCATATCATACGTACTATATCATTTGTCACATTCACTTATATATTATATCGCTAGCGACCCGCCCCGGCTTCGCACGGGTGCAATGTTTCTATGAATGTTTGTTTTCGACATCCCATAGAAACCTCTAAAATTATCAGTGTTTCTCTACTATATTACGAGTATGCATGGATTATACATATAAACCTTCCTCTTGAATCACTCTATCTATTAAAGAAAACCGCATAAAAATCCATTGCGTAGTTTTAAAGATCTAAGCATATATAGGGACAATTTGTTTTATACTATGTAGTGATACTAGTTTTCCGCCCGCTGCTGCTTTTTATACCGTGCTTAAAAAGTACCTACATGGCCCGTCTTCACAAATATAAACTGCACGTGGACAAACACCCAGATCCGAAACACTTATCTGTGGGTCACAGAGATGTTTGTCCCGTGTGGGAATCGAACCAACGACCCACGGCACGAAGCCAATACCTTGGCAACTGAGTCACGCTGTGGTTCTAACTTACCATTTGCAAAGTACAATGGTAAATAACGGACATTTGTCAGCAACGCAGGTGGTGTTGGACGAAACCGCAATTCACCGGAGACGTGAAAAGTATTTCACATAAAAAAAATAGTACCCCGCTGAGTTTCTTTCGCCGGCTCCTCTCAGTTTAGTAGCATTTTGTAGTATTTTGACTATCAATGAGTGAGTGTAATGTTCCTATGTCGAATAAAGATGTTTGGATTTGAACGTTTCCTTCGGGCTTCAATTATAAAATCCAACAGGTGTAGTCTTAGTTATTTATAGTTTATAAGATGTTTTTGTAACCTTGATAGCTCAGTGTCCGGACGCTCGCTTTAAATTCAATACACACGAGCGAAATGAGTTCATATCCAGGCTCCAAATTGTTAATTACATTTTTAAGTTGTGACTTATGACGTATTCAGCGATGAAGGAAAACATCGTGATCCTGCGAGTGAGGAAACTTGCATATTTTCGTAATAATAACAAAAAAATATTTCAAATATTTATGAAGCCTGTGAATCTGCGGTGGGGTGGCGTGGTGGACTTTACCCTAATAGCCACTGGTATCAGCGTTGTATTTCGTAGTATAATTTATATAGTATTTACACTTCATGCTTCGAATGTATATAAAAACACTATAATTTACTGTTTGGTACGAAAAAATACTGTAATTTTTTTACTTTATTTATATGAATGAACAATATAAATAGCGTTCAATTTCAATTAAACATTAAAAAAAGTTCATGTAACATGTAGTTCACACATTCATTTTAGAATGAGAATTAGAATTGTGTCGAACAATAACGAGACGGTAGCGGTAAAAGTGGGAATTGTACCGCTTTTATTCCTACTAAGGTGACCAAACAAAATTAAATTCTAACAATGAAACTCATATTGAAAGGACTGATAAACTTTGAAGAGTAAAGTTTGTTAATATCGGTAATATATTTTTAACTTTTTTATTTTTAAACTTAAATCTTAAGCGCTGAGATCGGGTTCGTCTTCTGGTTAGTGTGCCCAGTAGCTTTACCCATTAAGTTAAGCGGCCGATGACTGTGGGGATTAAACCTGCGTTCTGTCGGTTACACGCCATGACGCAATATTTTAATCGTAATTAATAGACCTATGCTTAATTAACGACATTTATAAAATTACTGTAATTTTATTTTTTTATGTGTTAGTAGCTCCGCGATGCGGAGGATGTTATACGACATCGCTTCTTTCAGATTTCACCTCATTACTAACATACAACGGGTGTGGACTTAGGACTTACGCCCGGTTTTTGAAACGCCGATCATCGTAGAAATTAACTAATCAGCTGTCAAATGGCTTTTCAAATGTCATTTGAGTTGCTAAAAGGATGGTTAAACTCTCTGAATTAGTTAATGTCTATTATGCTCAGTATTTAAAAACCGGGCATTAGTGACTTAGTTATTATAAGTAAATTAGTTTTTATTTAGGCGATATAAATTTTAATTTTTTGTGTCATTTATCGTTTGATTTTGCAAAAAGCCTCCTATACTCCAACGTAAGAGAGTAATGAAATGAAGTTATTATATTAAACAATTTATTCCTCCATATTTGACACAAAAAAAAAACGATATGTACAAAAAATAATTTATTAATAAGTTAACGATACTCAAATCGTGAATATTTAGTTTGATGTTGCCACTAGTAAACAGCATTGTGAGTCATAAAATTAAATAAAGTTACAGATATTTAAAATTTAAGCTTTGTTTACTAACCTCTACTGGTGATGGGACATGGACTAAAATATGACAACTATTATTTTTACTAATATGTTATCAGGCAAAAAAGGTCTATTAAAACAAATGTGTAGGAACTTTCGATACAAAATGTCAAATACCATCATGATCTGTACAAGAGTGAACTAAGTATAAAAGTTATTAAAAAAAAATAACTGCTTTACCATAAATCTTACTTGAAAACTGATGACAATAAAATAAATTTTGTTTGAAGGATGCCAACCATCTCAGCCAATCATATGAGTATGGATGCTGCATAGCAAATGTAATTTAGAACTAGGAAATATATTTAAAGGTCGACTTGCATAGTCCCATATTAACTATCAAACCAATTTGAACAAAGTTATAACTAATAACTACTCTAGGACTCATTGTCTTGATAACACCTCTACATGAATGCCTATGTTATACAGCGTGTCGTTACCACCGCGACAATAAATGAACACACATATAGGGCATAATGTTTTAAAATTGTATTAAATGTTTACATTCTTTAAACATCAATATTTACCGAGTTATTAAATTTTCCAAAACAAACAATTTTAGAACATCCTTACGTATGAAACTGTAACGTAAAATTCATTAGTAAAGGTCACAAAGCATATGAAAGGGTTGAATGAATTTAAAAGATAAAACATTCTGTTAGAAGGAGAGGCTTGTAATGCGACGCTGTGGCGCGAGTTGTATAGGATGTTACAAAATTTGTTTCTTTTTTGCTTAATTAGTTTGTTTGAAAAATATTTTTTTTTAATTATGGATTTTGTTTAACATTAATATTTTTTTATGATTATTGGCAAGTAGCGTTAGACGTGTATTCATTTATTGTCGCGATGGTAACGACACGCTGTATATTCTTCCTGAAGGAATAATGTCGAAACATACTTCTTTCTTTGGGCAAATACAGTTAGTTAATGGTTTGTCAGAAATACACTAATGAGAAATTAAAAATGTACAAATGGACAAACATGTTTTTTATAGCAATTGAGGAAAATGAACAAGCTGATGGCAGGACTTATAAATATTGTACTTTTGTGGAAATAGCAAATTGGCAGAAAATTATCTATCAAAAAAGGTGAAGGATAATATCTTGACAATAAGTATTGTAATTGTGGAATGTTTAATTAGTTATAGTTTATTTAACTATTAAGGTATATAGTTCACATTATTTTTAAAACTACAAATCTACCTTACCAAGGGCCTGAGTGTAAGATGAAAATTTAAAGCAAGATTTAAATATGTCTCAACAATAGTATCTCTGATTCATTACTTTCTTCATAACAAAACTTAAAAATAATGTCAATTTGTTAAATAACCTTCTCCTAATTCTTCTTAGTCAAGTTTAATAATGGAATGATGATGAAAATACAATGATTAATTTTTACATAGAATACTAGATATAAAACCTTTCACAAATTATATGATTTGCCTTTAGAAATGAAATACATTGAATCTTAATACTTAAAAGTGTGATTATTACATATTACTATCTTAAAGTTGTAACAATTTAAGCTTGTCCAAGTGGCACAATGAAGGAGAGAGAATCTCCAATAGCCCCCCAGGTAACACGCCGTGTCTGGAACACTGATACCCAAGCTGCAAGTGAGCATGCCCAAACGGCAGCACCACCAGCACTCATTAGTACATCTGCAAGGTGTGTTCATGACATGCAACAAATCAGTATATTAAAAAATACTCATTCACTAGTTACAATATAAGGGACACACTAAAAATCAATGTCTAATCTTCTAAATATCCTTTCGGGTTGGCACAATTTATACTTATTCTTTACATTCCTAGTGCACATAAGAGTTACTTACATTTCTTTATCTGTTTCTGCTCTTCAAATGGTGGCTTTATAAAAGCTTCTTTGAAAAACCAGACCGCATTCACCGCCCACACGAAAGGTAATAGAATGCAGCCGACTGAAACAAGAAAAGATTTTAAGAACCTATTACAACAATTTTGACTTTTTGACATTTGAGCCAAGCAGTATGAGAAGATAAAAACAATATTTTACCTTTAAAATACCACCTGCAAAGCTGTAGTTTCTTATCGTTGGGTAGTCTATTTAAATCCATTATAAAGAAAAAATATTATTAATAAACGTTTAATACCGAAATTCTCGAGTTCTTGAGTTTTCAATTTCAATTGTCAATTTGTCAACGCAAGTTTTTAATTACATTTCAATTTGTGAATTTGACAAATGTCAAATTATCATTTATTTGAAATTGATTGTCGCAGTGGCTAATAAACTTGCAGCCGAAGGCGAAATATAATTTATCAAGCGTATAGTGTTTTTTTGTTGTTTGTTAGACTTTATAATATCAATTTCACGTCTCACAGAGTGCATGAGTGCAAAATATTTTTTTGTTTAACGAACGTATAACACATTTATCTACTTTATACAGCGTGTCTTCACAACGGCGACAAGAAATGGCACACATATAGAGGAGGAACTTTTTAATATTGTATTAAACATTTACATTCTTTATACATCAATATTTACCGAGTCATTAAATTTTCCAAAACAAATAATTTTAGAACATCCTTACGTATAAAACTGAAACTTGAAGATCATCTAGAAAGGTCACAACGCATATGAATGGGTTGAATGAAATTAAAAGAGATAAAACATACTGTGAGAAGGAGAGACCCGTAATGCGACGCTGTGTTAATGAATGAAAAAGACTCTGAATGTATGAATCAGTCAGTTGTAGTTGTATAGGATGTTACAAACTTTGTTTCTTTTTTACTTAATTAGCTTGTTTGCAAAATATTTAATTTTACTTAGAGATTTTTAACGTTTATATTTTTTTATGATTATTGGCAAATAGTGTTAGACGTGTATTCATTTATTGTCGCGGTTATAACGACACGCTGTATACCTTCTATTTTGTATTTTTATTAAATACCTTACATAATACCCATTACACAATCTACAAATAAAGCTTTATCTTCCTTATCATATCAGTTCTTTAAATTGTAACCATAGATGCAAGTTTATGCATTAAAGGTATTGGGTAATTATTTACGATATGTAATTTAATTTTTTGTTACCGATCGTTTGATCTCTTATGATTAAATTGCAGTTTAAACCTTATGACTTCTTTTCTATACGTTCCACTAAAAAGGGCAGTCCAAGTTGACGTTTTAACTTTTATCTAAAAGGCCTTGAATCCCCTATGTTAATCGAATAGTTCATCTTTCGTTAACAGGGGCTGCGGAGATGCAGCGGATTAGATTATCCACCTGCTGTTTCCCAACAGACAAGTTGTTAAACCCGCCAGGCTACACTAACACAACAGCAAACTACAGTAACAACAAACTATGAAATAATGAAACATATAATGAAAATGTTGACAAAACCTATAAAAATACCACCTACTAAAAAGAACACGTAATGTACATCAGAAACTAATAATACAAGTTAGTATCTAATAATAAAAGTATTGTTATCTGCAATACTTTTGTGAGTTGGGGATTTGAGGTGGGCATAAATTTATTAATTTAATAGTTAACTGGTTAGTTTTAGTAATTATTATGTTAAAGTACATTTTATTTTAAATAAAAAAATAATTTTATCCTTCTTATACCTTACGCCTCTTGGTTATTATGCAAATAGTGTCTTTTAAATTTGAAAGTTAACATTTTTGTTTAAGTTGACATTTTGTACAAATAGAACACCTATCTTAAATATTCAACAAAAGCTTTGAATGGAGTAAAGGAACGTATCATTCATTGAATCAAAAATGGCGTAAATTGTCTAACGTCAGTTTAGTGAAAATGTAAAATAAATAAAAATGTTTGAATTGGTTAAAAATGTGTTGTTATGTTTTGCAGTTGCTTTCATTAACTCTCAATTATGTAAGTATAATAGTAAATGCATGTGTAATATGTTTACCTCAAAGAAAATTTCGTATCATAACTGTTTGATATTTGGCATTTTTTTGTATAATTCTTTCCGAAGACCTTGATAATATTTAGAGTACAGTTATGTATTTATATTTGCTGTGGAAGTATAATGAACGGATCTTGTACACATTCGGCCAGATATTCAAACGGTTTAAGTTACCGTTTCATGACGTTTTGATTTCTAACGGTGTCGGCAAAGAATTTGATATCCTTTCACTTTCGTATATGTTTAGTATTAAATTAACACACTAAACTGTACCAGAATTTTTAACGTCATTTTAACTTTAACATATTCTAAAGGTTTAGTTTTGTATATAACACATTCTCTGATTTTATAGAGTATGTTCGATAAAAAATCTTATTTTTTTTTTCGTGATTTTTAAATTTAATCAGGTAATAGGTGTAACATTGAATAAATATAATACTTTACTATAATAAATTTCTTAAAATGTTTTTATTTAGATAACCATTGCTTACCCCAACAATGAAGAATATCAAGTTCAGGGTAACGGTTATTTTTAATGTAATTTACTTTTCTGGGTGTCAATATTGAAAATTTGTTTTGTTAACGTTATTAATAACTAACCAATAACCGTTTAACTTGTATCACAAATTGAAATAATTATTTAATATTTAAATAATTTTTACAATGTGCTAAAATCTTAATAAATTATATAAGACATTCTTCTCCTTGTTTAAGTAATTTTTTGCCACTAAATAGAATTAATTACATTTTTATGTCAGAAAAACTATCATGAACATATTGCAATTTCTATAAAATTATATGCTCTTTTATTTACATTGTTTTAGTCACAAAGTTTACATTTATTATTATAAATGTCCTTTTGCATTTATTTGCTTCCTGCATCAAACAAGAATAAAATGTTGACACTGCATATTATTAATGCAACTGAAGGTAAGTACATGTTCTTTTTGAGGTCACAACACCAGCAATAAACATGGTTAACGATTTGGATGAACTTCAGTGAGCTATAAAATTTGTATTGAGGAAACTCATCATTTAACAAGGCCTCCAACAATGAGAGAGATTTAAGGCACCAAGGATAGAGAGAAATAATTAAAATTTTCTTTATCTTTATACATATAATTCTACTGTATGTGTGTATGTCACTGAACTCCTCCTAAACGGTTGGACCGATTTTAATGAAATTTTCTTAGTATTCAGGTCGATTCGAGAATGATTTAGATTCACAATAATTAATTTTTTATTTATTTATAAGTTGACAGATTTAAGACATATGTATGTTGGATCCGGTAGTAGCTCTATATAATTATAATGCAGTACCCTATAGATATATCTTTGTATTATCAAAATAAAATTTATGCACTATTTGTAAACTTCGCATCTAAAAGGAAGAAAAGACGAGTTGTTTTTGTAATTTTTTATTAACTTTAATTAAAATGTTGAACATTCTTAGCCCACCCAATAAATTTGTTACCATCCTCTAGTGGATAGGTTAATAACAACACCTGTGGTATTGCTGATGATTTCCTAAGCTTAAACAGAGTGGGTGCGGTTAACTTCTTCCGCTTCCATCCGATCTACTAAGAGAATGTGGTAAATCTTGGGATGGACCTGTCCATTTCAACAGCATAAGCTGTTGCAACGTTGACTCAAATTAAATTCGTTAAATACTTTGCTACTCCTCTGCTGTTGCTAGTGTCCATGGTCTGTTTGTTGATGACCATGACATTGACCATGCTCATTTGCCCCCTTTTTCAAGTCATTTGTCCAGTACATTTTATCAGTAATTTATTGCGAATAAATTTTAATGGTAGTTTAGTATTAATTGGTGACCCTATTGGTCATTGTAGAAGTCAACCAATCAGCTGTCAAATAGATTTTCAAATGTTATTTGAATTGCCAAAAGGATTGTTTAACTCTTTGAATTGATCATTCATTAAGTAGATCATTCTGATGTAATTTACATTTCAAAATCTATTTGACAACTGATTAGTTAAAATCTATGATGTTCAGTGTTTCAGAAACCGGGCGTAAGTTTGTCCTAATGACATGAGTTTTTGTATTTGTATGATATAAACATAGCAATATAGAAGTTGTTTTCGTTATGGATTCATAGCTATGTATGTTTTCATAACCATATTACATGGCGAAATGCGATGTAATGCAATGCGCAGATAAAATGCCGCAATCCTCGTAAATAATGAGCAAACGATGCAATTGCCGCGCGATTTAATTTCATTCGACTTGCATAATTTGTATGCATTTATCGCGGAATCGAACGTCACATTACGTTCCAACTGCACAGCGTTTTAATTAATCGCTCCGAAGGTTAAACGGTCGTGACACGGCATACACTCGCCCTGGCGAATCGTCCGGAAATATCTCAGATTAATATTTCTACGAATAATCCTCTTTACGATGAAACATAATTATGTACGTTGAACAAAAAACACAGACAGTCTCGTGGGGAAGGCCGGCAGAAGTGAAAACATGAAACAATATAAAAATTTAAATTATATAAAATTTTATTCTACACATTTTATAAGCACTTCGAACGATTATAGTATATTATATCATAATCATATCCATAACTACAAATATGTTTTTTGCGTATTCCTTTTTTAAAAAGAGCTTTCCATGATTTTTGTTCATCCAAAAAGTGCTCGACGCGCCTAAAGAAGTTTTCACTTCGAAAATTTTTGGAAACGTAACTTAGTTTTTTTTTTTAATTATCACCATATCCAATGCATCCGTTTATGTACTGTTGGGCAAAGGTCATCGTTAGATGAGAACTATTCCTAAAGCTACTTTGGGTTCAGTTTACTAAGAGAAACTACTAATCCATAACTTTTGTTATTAGCCGGTCATTCGAAACCCACAACATTCAGACAGACAAGGAACTAAATCGTTTTACAGCATTTATGTAGATAGATCGATGGATAATTGCGAAGGTTGCATCAGTGGAAGACACAAGTCACCGCCGCTTCAGTGAAGGCCTCGGATTTGAATCTCGGCCAAAATCTCTGTTCGCAACGAATACAAATTATTTCATTTTGACGAGAAAGTGAAAAGGGAAGCACAAGAGGTTAATACCCCATTGGCGTAGTGGGTAGTGAACCCTCTTGCGCCAGGGTTCGATTCTCACTACTGGAAATAAATAAACATAGTATTTTTCCAATATCTAATTGTTTATATATGTATAGTATGTTATTATTTAAAGAATAAAAGTATGTTTATGTATGTTTATCAGTTACGTAGTACCCATAGTTGGAACTATAATAACGTGTGTCCTAAAATATTTATATATTCATTTATTCATCACAAAACTTAACCAATCATTCGCATTTGATGTGAACGAAGGTTAAGGTATTGATTTTGTACACGTTTATTATTTAAATCAGCCTCGACCAACGTCGCTTGCGTGGAATCATGAAAAAACGTATTCTCGGCTCGTATAATAAAGAGCCTTTGTGTGTAAAAATACCTTTGAACGGCTAGTACGGAAGAATTTTTTTAAAAATCGGATATTGCCAGTCTCAAGTCATTTTCGGTTAACATTAGCAGACGGTTCACCAGATGTTTAGTGAATATCGCCGCCAATGGACATCAACAACACCCATGGATCTGCGGATGCTTTAAAAAAGTGGGCCCCGGCTACCTCACTCGCCAGGCGAAACGCGAAAGTTTCATTCTTCCAATTCGCGCCGGTATTCTGTGCCGCGGCACTTCCTCAAAGAGGCATTCGTGCAAGAGCATAAACTTGCGTGGCCATTAATTTGCTATTAAATTCCTGACGTTTTCGAACGCAAGATCGTTCTTGTTATTTAGTTCGGGCAAGACTGGCCGATCAATATCAACTTAATGCGGTAAAATCCATAACTGTTTCCTAATTCGTGTTACTTAATCAGGTACCAGGTATGAGAGGGCCTGTTGCCAACAAAAAGAAGCACATTTCAATAGTCATTTACACACGACATCAGCGAAGCGGCAATCTTGGCCCACATCTTCCGGATAAGAACCCCATATGAAACGTAATATCTATAACTATGGTTAATACTATGGTATCTTTTGGTCGGAAATCTAAGAATAATTGATAATAAAAATAAAAATCTATCCGAATCAAATAAACGGGACACGATATAAAAGTTTTAAATAATTTCGGTTATGGGCGTAGTCGAAATTGTGGCAGAATATTTTTTACTAATGATAGTGCTATTTTGTATAAAAAAAACATCTTTCAACTTGACCATTATGAAATTGGGTTTTCTTTATATGACACTAGCGGACCCAACAGACGTCCTGTACACACGACTTAAATCCGACACCTTATAAATAAAAAAAGTTGTAGTGTCCAGAATTGTGAATCTAAAACATTCTCGAATCGACTTGAAGACACACAAAAAATTTCATTAAAATCGGTCCAGCCGTTTAGGAGGAGTTCAGTGACATACACACGTACAGAAGAATTATAAACCGTGTCGTTACAACCGCGAAAATAAATAAACACACGTCTAACGCTACTTGCTAATAATCATAAAAACTTATAAACGTTAAAAAAAACCATTATTAAAAATAAATATTTTTCAAAGAAACTAATTAAACAAAATTTGTAACAACCTATACAACCACAACTGACTGATTCATTCATTCAGAGACTTTTTCATTTGTTGCCACAGTGTCGCATTAAATATCTCTTCTTCTAACAGTATGTTTTATCTCTTTTAAATTCATTCAACCCATTCATATGCTTTGTGACCTTTACAAAAGAACTTTACGTTACAGTTTTATACGTAAGGGTGTTCTAAAATTGTTTGTTTTGGAAAATTTAATAAATCGGAAAATATTGATGTTTAAAGAATGTAAATGTTTAATACAATTTTAAAAAATTATCCTCTATATGTGTGTTTATTTATTGTCGCGGTTATAACGACACGCTGTATATATGTACTAGCTGACCTGGCAAACGTTGTTTTGCCATTTAAATTATTTGTAGGGTAGAAAAAAAAAGGTTTGGGGTGGACCACCCTTAACATTTAGGGGGATGAAAAATAGATGTCCGATTCTCCACCCTGGCCGATATGCACATAAAATTTCACGAAAATCGGTCGACACGAGAATTTTATATATTAGATAAAGATAAATATACCTAAGTGAATGTGAGAGATTATATCGAACGTATCATACGGAGAGAGATTGCAGTCTTTAGAGTTGTAATCTTATTACACCAATTGGTGTTTTTCTCGTGACACAATTTCGGTGCGCTAGTTTCATATCTACCTCGTATCTGTGTATCATTGATCAATGATCATGAACTTGTCCAGGCGCGAGCGAGCCTCTGCCGCCGCCCGCCCTGATGCTGTACAGCCCCGGGGAGCCGGAGTACACGGACATACTGGTGAAGCGCGTGCTGGACAACCTGACGCTGGTCTGCGAGCTTCGCGGAGACAGCGCGCCCAGGGTGTACGTGTGGAACTACGTGGGGAATGGTACAGCGAACGATAGGTGAGCGCTGCTGGCGTAGGCTTGTTTTTAGACTGTGGTGGTTGTACTGCCTGGGTGTAAAGTCACGTATCTTTCCTACGATTTGTATGTCGGAATGTAGGTAGCATATGTAAAGCTCCTTCAGTACGCGTCTAGACTGTGGCTGTTTCAGTGCCTGGCATATTCACGCATCGTGTCACCGGCATAGCACTATAAGGTATTTCTTTGTGAATCTCGGAGAGATGAGGCCAGTAAGGAACACTGTTGTTCCGAGGATTTTAAACAAAGGTGGTAGGGCCACGCAATATGTTTCACTGCTGCACGAATGGGCAGCTCCTTCCGGTTAAGTACCACGACCTCACAGAACGGCGTGAATTGGAAGCGTAATACTCCTGCGTTTCGGCTGGTGAGCGAGTGGCGACGCATCTGCAACCCTACGACGTCAATAGGCTGCGTTTATTAACATGAGGTGAACTGTCAGCTTTTGTTTTTGCCACCTTCTCACATAACAGGGTGAGCGTCAAATGCTTTGTCCTTATGCACTGTAATCTGTGTTGTCTACGGTTTCAATATTCTATATATGTGTAAATTCGGCTACTGGAGATAGAATTTTGACTTAAGCATTATGGAGTATTAAGTAGTGTGGAGCTAAATGTCAAATACCTATCCCTAGTAACGAAATCTAAAGATATTTAGAATATTGAAACCGCCCTTATATCGAACGATTGTTTCGCAGACCGTTCACCGTGGAGCCAGTGGGCGCGAGCAACTCGAGCCAGCTGCTTCGCACCGGCCTCCAAGTCGGAGACAGCGGCCACTACATGTGCTCGGCGCCACCCTTCAGCGTCACCAAATACGTGCTGGTGCAGCCCAGGGGTGAGTTCCTTTCAACTGTGGTGAGACTTACGTTGGCGTCTGCGTTTCTGCGGGATGAACGTGTTAATATTTTACGGAGTTTATGGCGTTTATTTTTATACTGTATTGTTTATCATAGTTTTAATTCGTTCGTTTCGCGACGAAAACTCTTAGAAAAGTTTGTTAGAAAGGTCTGTCGTAGTGATGTACTTACCAATCAAATTTCTAATATAATTTGCTTCCTCGTCTCGTCGGGCTTATAAATAGAAATGAACACGCCCCCGCAGGGCCGAAGGTGTGCGCCCGCGGCGCGTTCGCGTGCGAGTCGCGGTGCGTGCTCGCCAGCTACGTGTGCGACGGGCGGCGCGACTGCCTGCGCGCCGAGGACGAGGCGCCGGCCCTCTGCTCGCCGGCGCCCTGCGCCCGTGAGTCACATCCATCTGCACAATCAACAATCAACTCGTACTCCCACGGAGCGTTCACGGCCTCTCGCTTGCAGGCGGCGACAAGCTGAACTGCTCGTCGGGCCGCTGCATCTCGGAGGCGGCCTGCTGCCGCGGCAACGAGCCGCTCTGCCGCCAGCCCGACTGCTGCGACGAGCACCCGCGCTTCTCGCGCCTCCACGGTCACGCGCCTCTTTCGCCTCTTCTGCCTCTTTCACATCTCCTGCATCTTTCACCTCTCCTGTCTCTTCCCCTCTTTCACCCCTTTCCCCCCTTCGCACTTCATATTAATCCAATACACAGATATTTATTATTGCTTTTTTGTTTTCATTTTGACTGAACGTAAAAGAACATATTTCTTGTAACCCACAAAATAGTGACTACACCAGAGTCCAAATATTCATCCATAATAAAAAATCAGAACTGGTAAAACTATCGAAAAACATTCTAAAACATTACCACTTACCTTTTTGTGGGTTAGAGGAAGTAAGTTTACTTCCGTCGACATAGGCCATCTTCCGGATTCGGAACAATTATGTCTGAAACTTTCTCATATACATTTATGTCTGAATCAAGACCTGAACCTGAATAACGCACCTCTTGCACATCTCGCACCTCTCTTGCCTCTCTTCAACTAGGCGTTTTTCCGTTGCAGGCTACGTAGAGATGGAGTATCCGCCCCTGTTCGAAGACCGGCGTGCGCCCGACGACTTCAGCTTCATCCAGTCCACTATCTACACTGTCACCGGTCAGTGGCGTTGCTTACTTTCCCCACTCCAGTACCGATTCCCCTCAGGCTAAAATATAACGGCTGTATCGAATGGAAGTTGATGAAACTGAAATTGACCTAAGGGCTTCCCCCTTAGGTCCTTTGTTCAACAGAAGTTATCTTCCAGTTGATAATGATGATGGAATGGAATTTTTCTTTCGCCTTAATTGAGCCATTTTATTTATTTATTTGGGAAGCATTAAGATGTATTCTTTATGCTTCCCAAATAAACTGCACTTATAATTTGCTATATTATAAAAATTATATAACTTGTAAAAACACTAGTTAAATGACCAGAAAGTATAACGTTGAATAAAAAAGCATTTACAAGCTAAAAAATTATTATTTAACGATGTTATAGTTGTTTGTTTTTGTTCTATTTAATGTTTAATATGCCAGAGTCTTCATCGGTGGCTCTCCATTCAACACTGAGGACATTTTACATTCACCAATCTCACAAGGTCAATCGCCCAAAAGCGAAACACTTTTTCAGTGTAGGTCCAAACAATATATGGGGCTACTCCACACACCTGTTTTGCATCCGTGTTCAGCTACTCCAAATATCTGTGTTGTATCCATATTCTTACTTCTATATCCTGTATTGGGTGGACGTTTACAAAACAGAAACATGAGCCATACAGGGTACTACAAAAATACACAAAAAGCAACTTGTGAAACCGATAGCCGAGCAAAATTAATCTGACCGTTGCTTCCCTCTTTTCAGCGTGCGCCCTGATCTTCATGATAGCGGTGGTACTGCTGGTCTCCGCCATCTGCAAGATGCACATGAAGCGGGCGGCGCTGCGCAGCTACGCCCACGCCGAGCGCGCCACCGCCCACCACTACAGCCTGCACTACGCGCAGGTCACCACTGCCACCACCTACCACCACTAACTATCCCAATGTTGTCTCCGTTTTGGCTCCGCGGCAGTTGCCAAGGTATTTTCTTCGGCGCCGGGGTACGTGGGTTCGATTCCCAAACGAGACGACTATTTGTGTGACTCACAGTTGATTGTTTCGGATCGGTGTTTGTCCACATTTTAGGTATGTAAAATATCATACGAAATGGTGTCAATTGTAATATATCAAGTAGTTTATTAATTTTCGGACGACACACTTGTTTTAAACTATATCAAGTTCTAGGAAACCTAAACCAACCAACCAACAACAAGATAATGTTATCCTATTGTAAGGGGTAATCTTTTCCTAGAGAAGATAACAATAGATCTCTCTAAGTTTTGTTTTATATGTAAGAAGGCGGCAAGCGAGCCTGCGGTTCACTCTGATGTTAATTGATGACCGCGGCCCATCGGCGTTTGTGACACCTGTTTGGATGCAGATGCGTTTTCACCCTTTAATAAAGTGCTAGGTACTACCCAGCCCCTTTCACACAAAATACATACATAAATATATATAAAACCTCTCAGACGGCTCGCTTCCCGCCGTGCTACGAGGCGTCCCGCCTGCTGGAGCGAGCGCGCGACTCTCCCCCGAGCCCCGCGCCCCCCGCAAGCCCCGCCCACCGCGCTAGCCCCGCCCACCGCGCTAGCCCCGCCCACTGCGCCAGCCCCGCCCACCAAGCGAACGATGCCCAGGTCAGTAATTTCTCTCTTTCCTTGAACCACAAAACCTTTAGACGTTCTTCACCAGTCTAACAATGGTGTGTTGAGGTCTCCTTTTTGGCCGATGCAATAACTAAATGAATAATTATAACATAACTATTTATGAAAACAAGACAAATGACCAGACTGTTTCATCTGACAGTGATTTTTTTTTGTAAGAAGATGGCAAGGGTTCAGTTCATGTTAAGTGATGACTGCGACCCATGGGACAATTGCAACACCCATAGGGTTGCTGATGCATTGCCACTTTTTAATAAAGTGGGCCCTGGCTACCTCAATCACCACATGAAACGCAAAAGTATAACACTTCCACTTTCCACCGGTCTTTTGTGGGGTTGTGGTACTTACCCTGACGGTCCTGCCCATTCGTGCAACAAAGAAGACTGTTGCGTGTCCCTACCACACTTAAAGGCTTGGCGTGTATCACGGTATGAAACCTATTCACTTACATTAAAAGCGTTGCCTTTAGGACTCTGGTGCGGCGTGTGTTGGTGAGGAGTGCTCTGACTTGTCCGCCCCTCAGCAGCAGGACGGCATGCCCAACGTGGGCTTCGGCCTAGCCCGCCTCTCCGCCATTTTCTCGTCGCGATACAGACAGGTAAACATCGTCATCACCTCCGATTGCAATTAATATTTGCCCATCAAGTGTCACTTTTTTATCATCAGGTAAAAAGATACCTCATCATTTGTTTAATTTTCTTTGCTAATAACTAATGTTAACCCACTGATAGGTGATTTATTCATATCAGTAAACTATCTACTTCAATATTTCCAATTGTTCGAGCATTTTGAAAAGCCTTGAAAGGGTGTATAGGTATGTTATTTGAATTGACTGTATTTGTAAATGTTACTAATTTTACAAAGATTACTAATGCTTAAAAATTAAAATTTTTCGATTATATCTACCGTTGTTTGAAATGATTACGAATGTCAAATTTACAACTGGTCGACATATTACGTTTGGTGTCTTTATTCTAATATAACAATTGTATGAATTCGTCCAGGTACCGACGCAGTGCTGCGACGTCGAGATGACGGAGGTGCGCTCCGCGTCCCTCCACGGCTCCCCGGTGCGCGGCGGGGGCGCCCTCGGCGACCACCGCAGCCCCACCTACTGCGACCTGGCGCGCGCCCCGAGGGGGCGGCGGGGCGCGGGGGCGCGGCGCGGCTCACGCTGCAGCTGGGCAGGTTCCAGCTGACGCTGCCGCGCCTGGGGCGGCCGCGGCCCCCCACGCCCGACGTGCTGGAGCCGGCAGACGCCCTCGGCCGCCTGGACCTGGTGCGCCTCCACGCCGGCGAGACGTACACGCTGAACGGGCGCACCATCCGGCTGCTGGGCGCCGACTTCGAGGACTACCCGTGCCCGCCGCCGTACGCGGAGGCGGTGCGCTGCAAGCGCTACGGGCCCCCGCCCCAGTACCTCAGCCGAGAGGCGCTGCGCCCCGCCGCCGCCCCCGCCCCCGCCCCCGGCGGCGACGAGGACGAGGACGCCGCCGCCAACGTGGAGATGCCGCCGCGCTACGATGAGCTCGCCGCCGCTACGGCTCTAGACGCCAACGCCAACCCTCGCCATGACAGCGGCCAGAGTCTGGCCTCCGTGCTGGACAGCCTGCCCGCGATCGACGGCGACCCCAACGCCAACGACGCCCCGCTTGAAGACTGAGTGACAGCCCTGCCACTTGTCACTCGGCGATTGGGCACAAGCCGTCTAGTGTGTGTGCTGTGTTAGCGAGTGTGTGATTGTTGTACGGATATTTCACTGTGAGTTTATTTACACAGTATATGTTCTCGTACCCAACTTGCCATTTTTAATGATGTCACATCTGTAATAGAACATGAGAATGGTACTTCTTAAAAAATAATGTCTTCGTTTACAAACGAACCTCGTATATTTATATTACGGGTCAAACGAGAGCTTGATATAACTGTGTTATAATTCTTGTTATATTAATTTAGGCTGACCTTTTACTATGGGATATAATATATTTTATATCTCAACATATAAATTGTATCTTAAGTATGGCCTCATATAGTAGATCTGTCTTTTTATTGTTTTAGTTGGTATTGTAAAGTTAAGATTAAATCAAAGTGGATAAAAGGTATATATATATATATATATATATATAATAGTGAAGAATATTGGAGGAAATATTACCTTGAAAATACCTCATCGTAACTCGTAATAATTTATATTCCAGAATATAATATACAATTATATGTCATAGTAAAAAGCCTACCTCACTGTACTGTCCACTAGTTCTAAGTTACTTGTACCTAACAATGTTGCCATAGTTACGTGTTTTGCGCATCGCTTCAGCTAAACCTCGGAGAGTTTTATATTTATACAAGTGTATATATTTCTAAATGTTATAATATGATTGATTATTATTCACTCTTTATAAGAATATTATTTTTTAAAGATAATTATATATTATACATATAAAAATATAATATGTATCCTCTGTAAAGGATGTCGTTCGTCCCTTTCTGTTTCACACGATTGTGCGAGGGAGGCAGCTATATCCATCACACCCGAGTGAGAAATACCCATAATGACTGTCGATGCGCAAAACAAACCTATACAATTCGTTTGTATGTAACATACTCAGGTTATGTATATATTTATTTTTTTGTTTTGTGTTGTGTTCTGTACGTGCGTCTGTCTGTCTATTTGCGTTTATTATAACTCGCTCTTTCTGACTCGGAGAGTGAGTTCAAATCGTAAATAATTAGTTGCGTCACTGCGTACAAAACTTGAAGGCGTTTTAAAAACTAGCTAGGTCTTGCCTACAATGCTGTATGTTTGTATGAACACTTTAATACACACTAACTGTTAGTTAAACGGGGTTTACGATTTCACCCAGAAGGATAGTAGGATAGTCGAGATTTTTCAAAGAGGCCAGCCTGTCACGCGTACTCAATATGAGGCGGTGATTATATCTGAACAAATCGTCGTTTGAAGATATCGATGCCTCTTCCATAGCCTTGTAAAGTACGATCTGTGCTGTTATTTGGAAATATTCCAGAATAGAAAAACTAGTCTATCAGTAGTGACAAGTACGTCACGGTTGGTCCAGTTTTGGTCGATATGCGCCTATTAGGAATATGCGATCCTGTACCAAATCACGATCAAGTTTACGTCATTTGGTACGGCCGTGGCCACTTGTTCACGTAGTACCAAGTTTCAAGTGTTCGTTTGGGTTTTGTAATTGTGGTACGAAACGGTGATGGCACGCAACTGCCCAGTTGTTGGTACTTACACGTGACACTTAGGCGTTTGCTCTCCCGCTCTTTCTTATAGTTAACTTGCTAGTGCTGGACTATTCTAGTATCTCGCGGCGTGTTCAGTATAAATGAGGGAACTCGCTTCTAGTTTGATAATCCAAGTGAGCATTTAATTTTCCCCTTTTATCCATCTAGAGCTCCCTAGAGTTATGATAAGATCAAGGAAACAAACAACTCTTTTGTTATACGCCCATTGATATAGCCAATACAATTTCCGTTAATATTAGTCTGAAATATCCGATTATCAATTGACAAGAATTATAATTGATGACAAACTTTGATAACCAGGAGTAGAAAGAAAATTGGCGATTGTACTTATAAACAATTTGACTTACTATATCCAATTTAAATGATAAGTTTGTAGGGACAGCAAACGAAACATAGGAAAATATATGACACATATTTTTGCACAATTTTTCTAATATTATTAGGTTATTTTTTAGCCAGACTCGCTGTGCGATTATTGACTCTTATATTGTGTAAGAGTAATGTTCTATCCAAAATTTTGGGGGCTTCGTATACTTTTTGTGAGGTTATTTATAAGCTACCTTGTAATGTAGAATAAAACAATGAACAATAAAACAAATCCGACCAAATATGCATTATTATGTGCGGTCGTTTGGGAAAATAAAAAAAATGATGTCGTCTCGTCACTTTCTTATTTTATCCGATCGACAGCAACATTCGGAGCAAGATATGATAATAATCTGTGAAATATTTAATAGGATTCAAGGGATATTTTTAAACTTGTATTGTATATTAATTTGTGACTTCCGTCTTCTTGATGTGGCTTTTGTCTGTACATTTTGTTGTGATGCTAACATATTTATTAAGCCTTGGTTTTTAGAAACTCAGTTATTGTTGTCAAACTGTATGTCATCAACCGTCAAGTTCTTTACGACGCGTGGACAAAGTGCGACTTATTTTGTTGTGCGAAGAAATTTCAGTTTCCATTATAGAAGGGACAGAAGCCACAAAAGCACAGACCAGTTAGATTACGTAAGATAATATGTCTAGACAATTGTAAATACTTACTTAGCGTTAAAATACGTTGAATCGTCAGCTTAAAAACTTTGATCTTTGCTGAAGAATTGTTGATTCTTAGTATGCAGCACGGAGCACGTTTCAACCTGTGTGATTATGTAACCTGTGAACTATTATAATCGGGAAACACATTAAACACAGAATTTGAAAATGTTAATATCTAAATTATTTCATTTTAAACGGCAAAGCAGCCGTTTTCTCTATGACGCATTTTTATCGCAACAACGTAGAATTGGTAAGCAACAAACATTTTTGTATACGCACTACCAATTAGACTTAGTTAAATGTAAAAAAAAATCTATTGAATTTCATTAGTTATACGATCAAAATTTTGATGATTGATTTGTTATAACGTTTCGCTCCGTGCTGCGTGATTGTTTAAAAGTAATTAGCGTATTTTTGTTTCCTCATCTGATTGTGACTCGACGTTTGGATTCAATTGTATTCTCACATCCAACTAAGGTCGAGTCACAGCCAATGAGTGGAGACGGAGTTTAGAACTTTCTGGAACAATAATTATCAACATATCACAAATATTAACACTGAGCTTGATATGTGTACAATTATATAAGTTGTTGTTGTAAATCATTTTATTGAATGTGACCAGTACTCCAAAGTTACGGCCGTAAACTGATATAAATTTTATAAATAATTTTTTTAAGCGCAATCTTGTTTCAATCCATCCATTTAATGTTCTGCTTACACGCAATTAATATGTTTATAGAGAATCATTTTCTTTGTCTCATATTGTTATAATGTCGCGTGTTTCAGATTTTTCCGCAATATCATAACGAAAGGAACGTTTGTATCGCGGGCCGAATAATCCTGTTTTACGATTTCCCGGTGACATTTAGACCTTACAGGATACATGTTTAATTACGATTGTATGGCACTTTAACACTTTCGTAAACGTTTTGACATTCTTTGATATAATAAATTCTTTGATAAGTTAAGCACTTAATAATGTTGTCAGTAGTCTAAACAGTGGATAAGGAAAGGTAAATATTATTTGAGTTCTATATTTATCCTTATTTTACTCCAAACTCGTATATGATAGAATAAAAGAGTATTTATGTAGATATTTACAATCCTCGCAATAACTTCGACAGTGTTAGTAGAGCCATTTGTTATGTAATAGATAATATAGTACAAATCGCGTCCAGCCTTTCCGATGCCTTACCATTGTTAGTTTAAGCCAATAAAAGTTTAATGTTAATAGCGATGTTTTAATAAACTCCTTCATTGCGGTTAGATTTTGCCAGTTGCGAATTTTGTCATTGCGCTACGGCGGATATTTAGAGTTAAGGATCGGGGCGTGTTTTTTTTTTCTACACAGCAAAGTCCACACATTGTATGGATTAAAACACTAATAATACCTGTTATACATATATTATTAGTATTTAAATCCTTATTATGCTGTTCTGGACTAGAACATGCGACAAGAATTCGTGCATCTATTTGTGTTGTTTTGATAAGGACCATTAAAACTTGAAGGTATATGAGCTAGGCCAAAATGTAAATAGAAAAGACACAGATCATACATAAAAATACTTTATTATATTTTTATACATCTACACACACGTCTACTGTATATTGTATATACGTTGCAAAACTAAACCCCGTCATTGCGAGCGGATCTCGACTCTAGCCGCCTATAACATAAATGTAGTGTCTTGTACATGGCACTTCTTACATACAACTGACTAAAGAGATTTGCTTGCGAAACATTTTCAGATTATGACCGCAAGCGTCACTTAGTACCGTCTCTTAACATTTTTCAACTCTGTCCTGTATCAAAACTGTTTGGAGGTGAAACAATGTTTACCTATGAGACTCGGTTTTGGAAAATTAAAGAATTGGTTGCATTACAACTCTGGCCGTCTTGATTAATATCAAAACTAAATGTCTCTAATCGGCAATAAACTAAATCATTAGTCCTTTATCATTATCAGTGGCAGATTAAGCAAGCGCTTGGCCCGTAGCAAATTCTTTCAAACAGCCCTTGATCTGCTATGTGTTCTTAAATATGAACTTATAAAAAAAATTCAATACTCTTACTTATTTCATTAGTTTCAAACAATTAAGGCTCAGGCAGATATGAGTATAAATGTGCGGGGGCCCCCTAAGGCGCGGTGCCGTAGCAATTGCTACTCTTCCTACGTGGTTAATCTGGCACTCATCCTTATTGGCTATTAATGATATCATTATCTTATTTTTATTGATGCAATAGTTAAGTCTCGACTAGTTTCAGTGAAATACGAAGCGTATAATTAAACAGTTATGAGACGGGACCAAGTAAATCTACTTAGAACATTTCATAGATTACATACATACAATAATTATAGTGATCGAAATCAACAAGAAACTACAATTCCTAAATATTGTTCATAACATAATACTGCTGTCATCAAAATATACCTACAAAAGCATTTCTTAATTGTAATAATACATTATAACATGCTATATAATGCAGGGCATAGATTATCTGTGCAGATATCTTCTATTGACCATAGCGTACCTTTGAAATAGCTATATAATTTAATAAATTGGAGTCATTAAAAATTGAATATTTTTGCAATGCAATCTATTTTATGTAACAGGTTTCCACCATTAGTGCTCCACCTTATGCTTTGACTATTAATCGATTCTATTATAACCGATGTTATAAAATTAGACCTTACAGAATAAAAACTATGCCTTACACGAGTCTCCGTAGTAATGCTAAAACGATGACCGAATGTGACATAATTCAGCTGCCAAAAAGTGACATCAGTCATTGGAAGAAATTATCTCTATACACAATTTCAGCTTTCACAAAATCACATCACAATAAATATTCTAAATAAAACTAAATAAAAACAGTAAACAATACTGTTACAAGAGTTTTGCATGAATACATTTTTTCCCGCGTAAATTAGCCATTAGAGAACACACGTTTTTAGTGATACGTAGCGGTCTCAGCTCAACGCGTCAACGCTCTCTATTTCATTAAATTAAATGTACCATTTTTGCCTACAGGCTAGATTGATTATAACTTAAAAGTAAAAAATAATCGACTGAGATTACCTGTTAGAAGCGTGTGATAGCTAAGGTTGCTCTGTGCTACAAATAAACAAATGCATATTGAATAACATTAAGACCTATTAAATACAAGGAACAGAATATGCGATGTTTTGCATCTTTATATATAACAAAACATTATATATTTTTTTAGGACATTTGGCATAACTTTCCAACTTCAGATGGTAAGGAAAACAATAAATATTAGTCTGTTTCTACAATAAAACTTTATTGCGAAGAAAATATTACCTGGGAATGACCCTGAAAAATCTGTAAAACTATCGCAACATTGTGTCAGATCAAGTCTGTTGGTAAAAAAATAAATTCTATTTTAAAAATTCGGTAGCTGATAGTTTCATCCTGAGGTCCTGTAACACGACAACGTTGCCATCATTTTAAATTGTCTCGTTGCAACCTGGCAACATTTTCCGTATACGACATCGCAAATCACGACATGCTGCTAGGGCTAGCATTGTCGTAATTACAAATTTACCATATCTTATTCTCTACGGTATTACAAAATACGGCGTTAGGTTTATACAATTGGAGATTCTAATTGAATAGACCTATATACACATGTTACTATTTTTGCTCCAATAAAGCATATCTCTATTTTATCGATTAAAAATGCCAATTAATGATTCGGGCACTTGAAAACGATTAAATACTATTAATAATAATAAGTAATATTAATACTTTATAAATTAATAAAGAAATTCTTACAACCGAATCCGTTCGCAAAAGGAACAAACATATTTGTATAAAGAAAAACATTGTTCTGATTATGATTAAAAATGCGATAAATCAACGAGGACACGTAAAAATATACAAAACATAGTTATCTGAAACGAAACAATTCCAAAACAATATAGAAACTAGAAAAGGAACTCGAATCTTGTATAATCATAATCCGTAAACAACGAAGCAAAGTTAGTGTTGCCATAACATAAAACAATGCAAAGTTGCATGGACCAATTATACTTCATAGAGGCTTCCCAAAATCGCTGTTCAGGGATGAAAGCCGATTAAGACCACACGCCGCAATAGCTTATAACGCAACCAAGCTAAGTTACTGCAGCTTGACGTCCGGTTGCGAGCTGGTGTCCCCCTCTTCCGGCCGGAGGGTCATCATGTCGGGCAGCTTGAAGTGCTGCATGTGGAAGGGCGGCTCTGGGCTGCTGCAGGTGCGGTTCAGCTGGCAGGGGCGACGCATTATTAGTGCCCGATGGCAGATTTAATTCGAATTACTAACCATCCATCCAAAGCCAAATATCCCTATAGTTAATTTTGTGTTTCAATGTTGCCAGTGAAGAATATTTGTACATTGCATAAATTTGTCTTATTTGCGGTGGACACTAAAAGTGTATTCATTCATTCAATATTTAATATTTAATTAAAATTTTCTATTCAAAACAGATTTTTTTAATAATTTTATTGCTACTAGGAAAGTCAATAAGGGCCACGCATCAGCTTGGGCTGTTACACGAATGGGCAGGTCTGTAAAAGTACCGCGACCTCATGGTGGTTGACATGAAGTGGGGTATTATACTTTTGCGTTTCGTCTGGTGAGTGAGGTAGCCGGGGCCCACATTATTAAAAGGTGACGCATAACTGCAACCCTACGTATGTTGCAAATGTCAATGGGCGGCGGTTGTCACTTACACTCGCTTGCCAACTTCTCACATATAAAAAAAAGTTAATTTTATGTTTCAATATTGCCAGTGAAGAATATTTGTCAAATTTTCTATTTAAAATAGATATTTTAATAATTTTATCGCTACTAGGAATACAATAATCTAATTTTTTTACATTGGTCCAACTTATGGATATTATTAAAATGAGAAATTAGCGTTTAAAAAGTCACAGCGCAAACATGTCCCACTTCCGGGAAAAGGTCTCAGGAGGATATCAGTCCACCACGTGGCCCCACGGCGGATTGGTGGACTTCACATATTTTCCGAATATTTTTTTTGTTATTATTTCGAAAATATACAGATTTCCTCAAGATGTTTTTCTTCACCTTTTCATTTTCATTTTTGTCGGCACCGGGGATCGAACTCCGGTTGCTCGAGTATATTGAATTAAAGGCGAGCGCCCGGACATTGAGCTATCACGGCATTAGAATGACGACGCAAATATAAAGCCGGCTCACCTGTGCGCTGCGGCCGCGTCGTCGCTGCGGCAGAATGCCCTTGCGCGCCATGAAGAATCTGTCCGAATGGATGTGAACCACATTAACAATCTTAGTAACTACACTCTGTTAAATATGGGTATATGAAGTTCCGTAGTTTTTTAAACAAAACAATGTATGTAACACAATGTGGTACATTATTTCGTAATGTCACTTTAGTTTATTAACGTCAAATTATGTCAATGTCTCGCGTATAATCGTATATTTAACAAACTGTAGCTAAAACGCTGGGTAATCTCTTTAGGTCTAAGCTAGAAGTGTCGCCAAAAAAAACCTTTCATAAAAATGTACCTCTTGACTTTGGTAAAATTTTGTACGATATTTTATTTTTTTATTTTTGTTGCGAATCTACATTCAAGACGAAATCAAAACGGCGAGCTCAATAGTAAAATTGTCGAGACTACGGGCCCTCAGGGATATGGAGCTACGTCTTGTTGGCAACGCACACAGATGAGCACAGAGACATTACAAATTGTTGAAAATTATGTTTCAACAATTTGTTTATTCAACTAACATTTAAAATTTTCTACTTAGTTTAATTCTACTTTCTGATCATCAAATACACAATTTAATATTATTAAAATAACAGCACATTTTAAACATAATGTGCTGTCGCTAGAACACAGACTGCCATGTGTCCTTCCCGTTTAGTGAATATAAGGAGATTTGTTAACATAGTACCGATACTAACGGTAGCCATGGCAGTACATGTGACCACTAACGACTGCGGTAGGACAACGCAACAATCCTCGCTCTTGCACGAATGGGCAGCTCCATCCGGTAAGTACCACGACTTGCTCTTCTGCGTTTTATCTGGTGAGTGAGGTGACCGGAGTCCATTTTATCAAAATGTGGCAACGCATCTGCAACTATACGGGTGTTGCAAATGTCAATTTTTTTTAATGTGAAAAGTTGCCAAGTGAGCAGACGGTTCACCTGATGTTAAGTGAATACCGCCGCCCATGGACATCTGCTATACCCGAGGGTTCCAGATGCATTGACAGCCTTCTGAAAATTGGGCTCCGGCCACCTCACTCACCAAACGAAACGCAAAAGTATTATACTTACACTTTACGCCGGTCTTCTGCGAGGTCGTGGTACTTACCCGGACGGGCCTGCCCATTCGTGCAACAGCCGAAGCCACTGCGTGGCCCTACCACGTAATGGGCAGCTCGTCTGCCACCCCCACATAGAAGAATACAGCGTCCGCTCACCGTATCGTGGATATGGGTATGTTGAACTGCTCCGAGACCGTCTGGAAGGTGAGGCCGCGGCTGACGCAGTCCGCCGCCTGCCGGAGCACCACCTCGCTGCGTCTGATCCTCTTGTTTATGCTGTACTCGGCCGGCGGCGTGGTCTGCGATACCTGCGCCCGCAGAAGACGCGGCCTTTATACGTGCTGACGTTTTCAAGTCAAAATTTGGGTTTTAAGTTGTCAGATTTCTCTATCGGCCGAGTAGCGTCGGGACTAAGGTGGCAAAATGTATAAGTAATAATATCAATACAAAAGATTCTATATCCAGAATCATATCAAAAACGATATTTTTTCAAATTCAAATCCGACACAAAGTCCTAGGTGTCATATATTTAATAATTGACATACCTTTTTTTTGGACAGCGTTGTAACTACGACCTAAATATCGATATATCGATATTTTTCTTCAATATATTGAGGCCGATATTAATAATTTTCTAAATATCGATATATCGATAAATTTCTCCACTTTCGACCTCCCTAGCTTGTGACAATTTAATGTGTCACTACATTGTATAAAACAAAGCCGTCCCGCTGTCTATCTGTCCCTATTTTTGCTTAGATCTTTAAAAGTATGCAACGGATCTTGATGCGGTTTTTTTTCTAAATAGAGTGACTCAAGAGGAAGGTTTATATGATGAGAAGCTTGGCGGGTCGCTTCGTTAGTTGAAAATAAACATCGAAAAAGAGCTCACCATCGGGGTCGTCACCATCAGACGCTCGGTGTTGGGGCCGATTTGGGGCCGATCACCCACGTGTATCACGTTCACTCCCGGGGTGTACCCGGGGCCTATTGTCATGATTTTCGGGCGCACCTCAACGTACGGCGCGGAGCTCTGAAGCTGGGGCGTCTGCAAGTCACATGAAATCAAACCATTTATTCACCCAAGTAGAAATGAATGAAAGAATGCACATTCTTTATTGCACACCAAAATAAAATAAACAAGAACAAAAACAATGTATAAAAAACTTAATGTATAAATGTCATCTTTCTACACGTTTTATCTGTGCCTAGATATCTCTACACCACCCCAAGTTTGACTGGTAGAAAATGCCTTTAATTTTTTAATTTTTGCGTTTCATCTGGTGAGTGAGGCGGCCGGAGCCCAATTTTTAAAAAGGTTGTCAACGCATGTACAAACCTTCGGGTACAGCAGATGTCCATGGGCGGCGGTATTCACTTAACATCAGGTGAACCGTCTGCTCGCTTGGAAACCTTTCACATAAAAAAAGTCCGCCTTTGCACTAGATTGTGCAAGTGTCTAGTATAAAGAGTTGAGCCATTATGGCTTCACCAATCTAATCACTTTGGCCCTAGATCAAGGAGCAAAATGTTACAGGAAAACGATCTTGAATATCTATCCACACCAATACAAAGTTAAGACTTTAAATAGGCAGAATGTGACACAGAAAGATATTTCACGTTCCGTTCATGTAACGGAATGTGCCAAAACGTGACGCGACCCTTGAAATTTCGCTAATCAATCCTGGTCCAATCATCTTGAAGAGATGTGTTCTAGACTCCTAGAAGTTTCACTTAAGAGAACTCACTATACTCGTCTTGGGAGCTGTGATAGCTCAGGGTTCGAGCGCTCGTTTTTAATTCAATATACTTGAGCAATCTGAGTTCGATCCCCGTTTTAGATCTGACTAACATCAAGATCGTCGTTAGGAAACCGGCATACCTTCAAAATAGTTATAAAAATATTTCAACCATATATGAAATCTATCATCATCTATATGCGTGGGGTTCGGGGCCTCATACAGAGGAGAGCTGTGCCAAGCAGTGGGACATAAAAGGGTGTTACTTTACGTTTAGAGTTAATTTTTGAAGTAGCAATACACATAGCAAGATAACTTGGCATCTGATGTAGAACAATAGGAGTACGCATATGACGTGGCCAAAAGCAGTGATTAAAACAGGGTTCACGTGTACAATAATGCCTTGGTTAATAAAGAATTAAAATAGGGTTGGCAATCGGAAAAATGTTCACAACTCGTTTTGAGCCTTACGAGTTAAACGTTTAGACCTAAGATGATGAACTGACGTAGACTTCACAAAAACATGGGATAGCTTGTAAAGAACTTCAAGGGATTAATGTTTGCATTAAATAGACTCGTGATGAGGGTAGGGTTGCCAACCGTACTTTATAATAACGCATCCTTCTATTTGGACAAATATTCTTTATTCTTACGTCCATAAAATAAAGTATGTTAAAATTCTCTTTCATAATCCTTTAATACTCTATTTAATTATAATGAAAAACTGTAAGTGTGCAAAAGCTGAAGCAAACGAAAATATGTCTTCGAGAGAAGAAATTTAAAAAAATAGAAAATTTTGAAAAACACTTTTCTTTTCTCCCTAATATTTATTGTATGTGATACGCTATTTTACTCAAAAACAGTTGGCAACCCTAGATGGGGGCAAGACATCGAATCAGGGCTGCCACCAACGTTGTTGACTTGGTGTATGATGAAGGCGGGCGGCTCGTCGCGGAGGTCGTACGTGTGGTCGTCGGGCGGTCGTGCCGCCGGTCGCTCCGTCTCCGTGTCGTTGTCCGACGCGCTGTCGTACTGGCACTGCACGTTGGCTATCGCGAAGTCTGCGGGAATCGTGTTACTCCTCAGTGTTTCCGTTATCTGTATCGATCTACGTGTATAGAATAAATTAAAAGTACAGACTGCGAAAAATCTTTTTCGGATCAATTTTTATTGTTAGCGCTAGTCTTTGCACTCAAGGTGAAAGTTTAAAGCCTAGCTTAGTTGGTAACGAGTCTGTGCGCGAAAACAGAAGACTCAGGGTCGAATCCCGCAGCACTGTTTTTGTCCATTCATTTACAAAAAAAATACAATTTATGAAAAATATGTTTATTAAATGGTCTATAGTGTACTTGATAGTTTATTTTACTCATTTACCTAAACGACGTGCTACTCAGTATTTACTAACATTTCTTATTCCGACAATAATGTTTATGGGAACGTAAATCTATATCGAAGGATGCATTCACTTTCAGTTCTGAGAAACGTGTAAAGCCCCTTCGTTGGTGGGAGCTGAAATTTTAATTGCATCCTAGCATTTCTTGTTGTGAGGTAATTTTATTGGATACCAACAGGTAAAGACAACTTAAAAAAAGCGTTTTAACGTAGTGTGCCGGCATATACAGTTGTTCTAGTAATTAATGTCTCACAGAGAACAAATTTATTTTGGTAGTACATTCATAATAGATTTGATGGCAAGAAAATGAATCAATCTATTTATTCAAAGCAACATGTTAATTGTCTTTCTGTAGGCTGAATGAGAGCAAGGAAACATATCTAGATTATTAAGCATATTGTTGTGGAGTGTGTGAATTCAACGGGCGGCGTTTGCAATTTTGGTTCCGTTTGAAATTATATGATACAAAAATTTCCACCGTGTAGTCTTTGATGGGATTTGGGATGAAACTTATCTTAGACAATGGAGTTTGTAAGTTATTATCACCAGTACATATGTTTCTAAGAGTTGAAGCGGCATTTATTGGCACGTTTGATTTTTTATGTATGTAATAAGATATGCCAATTTGTATTGACATTGTACATTTTATACTATTCCAGTCAAAGTTGATGTAATTTTAAATTAACATACATTATAGTTCTAATCTCTGTATTTAAGATGAAACATTAAAATTTGTAGAAAAAAATTGGCCCTAAGTTTTTCGCCGCTTAAGTCTTCAGGATTTGCGCCCAGACGGTCTAACCACTAAGTTTTTTTTTGTTTCAATTGTTCTTCGCATTTTTTTACATATATCGTCCTAATTATCGCTGTAAAACGATATTCGAATAATTGTTTAAGTGCTGTAAAGTTTCCAATATAGTCCAAGAGCTAGCAACGTTTTCGAGAGAGAATTTCAGGTAGGCCAGTTTCTAGATATGCTATCTCTCTCACTCCACCGGACGTCATACGGGCTATGAGGCTGTCGGTAGAGGTTGCGTTCATCAGTGAATCACTTGAATCCCAGCCAAATTTCTAACCTAACTTCAGATGTTTTGGTTTTGTTACAACCTAAAAAAAACGAACTTTAGTTGGTTATTTATACAAAACCAGTTTAGAAAGTAAGATGAAATAAATAACGTGATGCAAGTACGCTTTCTGCGTTTCCTTTAAGTGTTTGCTTTCAATGGCAATTCATTTTATAAAAAGCCTACACTGAATATTTAGGGCTAGTCCAGTAGTTAAACAGGTAGTCCCCAAGGATCTCTAAATCTGTGCTAAATTAATAAAACTCAAATGTCCACGACAAAACATATTTTATTACTATCAAATACAATCACCCGAACCTTATTACATAGTGACAGTAAATTTGCCTTAAGTCGTAATTCAGTGTGACCAGCAAAAGAATTCGCTACGAATAAATACGGTTAATGATAACTTTTAAATATTTTGAGTGTATGTTAAAACTTTGATAACTGTTATGATCTGAAAAATAAAATATATAACTTTAAATATAGTTTATTTGGCTTATATGATTTACGATTTTTGTTTCGAGGTGAAATTAAAAATAAAACATTTACGGTCAAAGGTATTTGCTAGTCACACTGACTTTACAATCGAAATAGATTAGTTATTACCCTTTGAATTTCTCTTATTTCAGATAGAGTATTTTATTACTAAACTATGAAATATGCCTTTGCACCTATACCATTGAGATTAGTGTTTCCATTAGGCTCACTTCATTGAAAATTAGTTTTTCCGTTTCGTAAAAAATGCTCTGAAACACTAATTTGAACTAAATTTTCTCACAAAATACTCACCTCATGGTGTCACACCAAGATGCCGATGAGTTTATACGCGTTTTTTTTTTATTTTATGCGTTTTAATACTTTCGAGTACTTTTAACATTTGTAATTATATATGGCCGGTTGAACAATCTATGGAGTATGTCGGCATAGGGCGATGAATTAAAATTAAGACTTAACAAATCGGAAAGTGTTAAGGTTTTTATGATATTACTAAATGAAAAAAACGCATACCTGTAAAAATATAACTTCAATTCTATACTTCTTCATAAACAACAAAAAAATGCATTAATCATCTTCTATGGCGTTGCATATTAACCTTTTTTCATTAATTGCCTTAGGAAAGATGATGAGACAATTTTCGATTTAGTTCACGACATGTTATTGCGTGACAAACATTTGTTGTTAAATCTTCTCGAGTAAATTTTTATTTGGTATCTCTTTTAACTTAAATCTTGTATTACATTTCATATGGTGCTTGCAGTTGTTCGACATTGTAACGGTTTATCTTTGGTTCTTATTAATTATTGGTACTAAACAAATCTTCATAGATTCAAAAGGCCGATTATGCATGGTAATTTTATATCAAAGTATTATTAGCAAAATTAAGGCTGTAAGCTTCGTAGACTTAAAAAATCTAAGCAAATTAATACGAAATATGGAAATTGATTCATTTTCGCAATGAAAATAAGAGAAAATTCATGCTTAAAGTGTAATTTATAAGTAATGGTTATATATAACAGTAATGCCTCTGTTTATCCTCTGTGTTTATGCTTATAAAAGGTATAATTCGACCACGACTCAATTTGCACAAATGCTAGCCACCGAATCACTATTTATATATTCTATTATAACAAAAATACATTAAACTTAAGCTATTCGTTGCCTTTAATTAGAAACGAAAATATATAATAGTCAACAAAATCATATAAATAAATAACGCTTTGGACTGAACTCTACTTTGGCTTGTTAGGAACTAAAACTTCAATATAATTGTTAAAATTTAGAAAGAAAATAACAAAATTAATTGGTACATGTGTAAACATAAGTAGAAAGCAAACTTTTTTACGTCGTTAAATTAATAAATTGCTTTTAAAACCTCTGTACATTAGGGCTTTTTTTCAATAAAAAAAAATAAGAAAAATTTTGAGCAATTTCACTCAAGATAAAATTAAATAAAACAAAAGTTTCCGTTACACATTATAACAGTAAAAACAAACAAAATGAAAGTATCCGTTAAAAAAAAAATTACTTCATTTATGTATTAGCCATACCGCATCACTGTTAGGTTTTATCGAGAAAATATGATTTCAAGATCTTCTCTAACAGAGTGGCCACATGTTGTAATAGTAGTTGATAATTTGTAGACTAAGTACTTTTTACCACAGTTAACTGAGGCTTATATAACAGGTAGTATGAAGACATACATAGACACTAGATCATAATAATTTATTACTTGAGCTTTAACTTTAAATTTTTCTTCGATTTAACTAATATTGGACACATTAAATCATCCGATTTAAACACCCAAGACAAATCGCTCTAAAAGCATATTTGATAATTATTCAATACTTTAAAATTATTAGCGTAGTGTAGAAAAATTTTGGAGGAAACAATTTAATACTTCCGTAACGTACTGCATATTTAAATTTTGGCAAGATTAAGTACGTCTTAGTAAAATTACAATAAGTTATCCTTACCCATTATTATACCTTACATTACATTGGGGTTCGTCGACCGACGACAACTAACTGTTACATAAAATAAAAATATACCAACCCGAACCGTAGACCGTCTGCGGGGTACCTAAGGTAAAGTGGCAACACTCGATCGCGTTCCTGTGCGCGCATTAGATCGGGTCGCGGTACCTCTCGGACCTGGCCTCGCGCATCAGGTCCAGCGGGTCGAGCATCTGGCTCCTGGCGCCGCGGCGGCCCTTCGAGAACTGGCTCTTGATGTCGTACTTCTCCATCCAGTTGCGCAGCGTCTTGCGCGGCACGCCGTACTTGTTGGACGCCGCGTACACGCTGTACCCCTTCTTGACGGCGATGAGAGCGTCCCGCAAATGCTGCGACGAGTACTGCTTGTACGACTTCTCTTGGAACACGTCCGTCTCGATGTTCACGATCGCGTCCGGCCGCCGGCCCACGATGCGCGGCCGCGCGTGCACCTTCAGCGGTACGCCGCGCTCCACGTCGATAAAGTGCCGCGTAACGATTTCCGTCGACGTCCGCACACCTGCAACGGGCGAGGAGAAGAAACGGCCCTTTAGCTCTGCGCTCCAGTTTGTTCTAGTTTTTTTTTTTTTTTTTTTTTTTTCTAGTTCACAATCGACTACGGCCGCGGCAACACTCGAGCCGCCGGCAAGACAGCGGGGCGTTTCTTTTCCTGGCTTCCTACAGGCGGGACGGGAGGTGGCGGGTTGGGGTCGCGGGTCCGTGTAAAAAGCGAGGAAAAGCCGCTCTTTTTTTGGTATTCTCTTTTTTAGTGTGGACGCGACGCAACTTCGTTCGGTGACGGGACAAATAGAACTAATGAAAGGCAGTTCGACAAGTAGGGGGTGTACGACGTATGCAACAAGCAACTATTTCGATTGTTAAAATCGAAATAGTCGCGTGTGTCTGAATTTTGAAAGTCATTGAAAAAAAGATTATAAATGAAAATAGTATATCCTTATAATAATATAGACGCATTGATGATAACAAGTGTGCAAAAGCACAATAAAAGCATATATATTCATATCATATGTTTATTAACTCCCGTAACATAGCAAAAACTAATACAATCACTGAAATCGTCAAGAAAAATTCATAATAGGGCGGAGATGTCAACTGCATGTGTATAGATAGAATTAAACTAAATCTTAACACTTTGGACCAAATAATACGAACAATAATACATACGGCCACTTTTTATATTTAATTAATTACATATTTACTTCAATTCAATTCATTTCCTTCAGTTTGCTTAAACACCACAGATAATAATGAAAAATGTTTACACTACCATTCCGTCTTTGGATTAAAATATATCTAGAAACAATAGTTTATAGTTTGGTTTTCATTTCAATGGTCTATAATAAAACTCTTTTATTCTCATATTAGAACAGATGATTTCATCAAAATGTCCTTACAAGTAGAAAAAAAAATCTATTAGATACGATGAAACGCAATTTAAATCAACATAATACTGCATACAACACTGATATAGTATAATAATATATCTACATAGCCACTTAGTCTATTTATGTATAAATTTATACTCTACGTAGGCACTTCTTGGATTGCGGGTAGCAATGGCGTCGACCTGACAAATTTTGACAACCCTACATGTAAGGCAACCAATTATATAAGGCAATTTTCCTTCCGCGAGAGAATAAATGATGATTCCATCAAAATTTATCGACTCACACAATCAATGTAGATTTTTGTATATTTATAATTTATTAAAGTTTAAAAGTTATGAACACTATTTGGAACCACGTCTTTTATTTTATTATAAATTTATTCATCGAAAATTTTCAAAACGCTAACGTACGAGCGTCTGAGATGGTCGGAAGATAAAAAAAATGAATACCGATAAAAATTTCGTATTCAATAATTTAAATTTTATAGAAAACCTCTTTGGAAACGGCAATTAAGGCCAGATCTCCTGACTTAAAGACCCGCCCATCTAAATTAGCTAGGCAAACAGAAACACCTCTGCCTTCAACTTCCAATAGAATACGATAAAAATTTTATAAACACTATAATATAAAATATAATAACACGTCGAAATTGTAATTTTCAATTTCGACGTACCAACAATCATCTCTCAGTCTCTTTACAAACATTCGGTCCCATAATTTCTATGGCGACGGCGTACCATAGACAATTTCGGTCCTTTTAACCGGACGACTTTAGTACCAATCGGTCCTTTTAACCGGACAATTCTAACATTTATCAGGTCGACACCACGTCCCTGAAGATTAAGAGAATGTATCTATGTGCCTCGGAGGCACTGCACGCAATTAAATAATAGAATCTTAGGAACAACACGCATAGTTATTGGGCCCAACGATGCAACGAACGAGATGATTGGGAGACGAATGAATACTAAAACTCTATGATTACCTATTATATAAAGATTTGATTGATTTCTAAAATATTGAAAAATAGGTTGTCTTTGGTAAGTAAAGTAAAGTAACGACCTATACATGTCCCACTGCTGGGCAAAGGCCTCCTCTGTAAAGAGGGTATCAGGGCATAGTCCACCACGCGGCCCCACTGCGGATTGGCGGACTTCACATATCTTCGAATAATTTTTTTTTGTTATTATTTCGAAAATATGCAGGTTTCCTCACGATGTTTTCTTTCACCGCGGAGCACGTGATAAGTCAGCATTTAAAGTTAAAAACTTTATTGGTGCCGGCACCGGGGATCGAGCTCAGGTTGCTCAAGTATATTGAATTAAAGGCGAGCGCCCGGACACTGAGCTATCACGGCTCTCTCTTTAAGTATATTATAATATAAAATTCATCCCTTAAAGAAGGCTAGTTATGCAGTTCTTAAATAAAAAAAATGTTATTTAGATGAACATAAACACATTTGAAATGTACTGTTAGTTTGTATACGTCTATAATTAGTCATATATGCCCACAGCATCCATATACAATATCTCAAATGTAGTCCTCAAAATCAGAAGTTTGCCTGTTTAATTAAATCAAAAGCTATTAAATATATAAACTCATTGATTTGGCATCGGAAAGACTGATATAGATTTAATTTATTTTCTTGATCAACTATTGCGTGGCCACCAGCTATTTAGTTTTAAATAATCGAGAGCTAATATTCGTATTGCATAGACAAGTATTATTCGAACGTATCCCAAACCCGATCTTGCATCGCGCGGCCTCAAATTTAATTTAAAGCAAACTTATTTAATGTAGCGTTACTAAATAACTTTCGATGGAGCTAAGGGAGAACTCAATCCTAGTTTAAGTACTTTATCCTTAATTATGACATAAATAAATTATCACTATGTTTAAGCCGTTACGAATAATAATAATCGAAATGAGTGGAGACAGTCACTATCATGACGTAAACGTTCAAAAACCTTTGGCTAATCGAAAGCGACTGTATACGCCCACAGAATATATAAAGCAATTTTATATGTATAATAAAAATCTTTATCTCTAAAAAAAGAGAGTTATGTTCCCAAACATGGGACGTATTTGTCACCTAAGGTAGTTATATATTCCTATGACATTGACTGTCGCCACAAACTTATATTTAGCGCTAAAATTTCATTTTCAAGTCTTTTCTTTATCTTTGGACGTCGTCCTCTCAGACATACGATTTATAAAGGCCAATTTATTACGTAGCGTATTCACTTCTACAATTCAACTAATATTCTACAATCGATTAACGTAACAAATACAACGTAGTAGGTAAATAATAAATAAAACAAAACGGGCCCTCGAATGTAACTTAAAAGCTACCAAATTGGTAATGAATGTTCACCAAATATGTCGCTTTATTTCCCTCCTTAACACAAAACAATTATAAAACATTCGAGGAGTATCTCTTTTTCTAAATAAAAACAAAAGAATCTTTGGGTGTAATATTGCAGGGATTATGAATAGAAAATAATAAAAATAGTAAAAATAAATAGAAGTTTTCTTTTAAAATAACTATCTTTCGAAGATTCGATAACTAACAATTAAAGAGAATAAGTTTGAACATAAGGAAGGTTGATAAAGAACAGTTTCACACGTTGAAACAATGTTGCCATAAAGATGTCAAAACTTTTTGTCTCCCAAAGATATCTTTACATGGACGTTTACAAAGAGAGATCTTATAAGTATGAATGATAGATTTCAAATACTCAACAAACCGACCCTTAATTCATAAACAACTTATAAATTTAATCGTATTTTTTTTTAATATCGAACGATATTTATATTTTTAATATGCGATTATATTTATGAAATTTAGAACAACTGTTATAAATATTATCCCCTAAGTTTTATTTCGAATATAACTTTTTCAATAAGCGTGTAAGCTGATCTAGAGTCTATACTGAACGGATAGAAAGAATTAAAAAGGTCGTTTTTTTGTACAATACAAAAAAATTAAACGGTCGTTTGTGCATTTCTGTGATATATATTCCTAAGAGTAATCAGTTGTACGAGACTGCATATTTATTTCAGTTGAGTAACTAATAACGTTTACGAGAAATAAATAGGCATAATATTAAGATAAGTGCCTTAAATATTACCTGATATTAACTATACCACTGTTCCTTTCGTAGATGGTAAAGGAATTAATTTAGTTAAAGCTTTCTCATTAGTGTATGTTAATCTTAAGCAAGTTATAGTACGAGTGGATTTCATATATGAGCCTTTTAAAAAGCTCAAAGCTAACACTAAATGTTTTTTTAAATTGTAGACCATTTAGTAGAAAACACGTGTGTGGGTTTTTTTTTGTAAAACTGCTTTGATTTTTTCCTTTGTTTTTTTTTTTATTTAAAACTTTCAAAACGTTTCAATGTTGTTCAGTCGAAATCGGTAGATAAAATTTATGATTATTTTAATTTCATTGAAATAATTTCTTGTAAGTTATATTCTAGTTTTGTTTGTTTTTTTTTTAAAATGAATTACAAAAAAGAGGATACCTACGGAGTTTCTTTCGCCTGTTTCTTCTCCGCTAGAGGAACCTCATTACGAAACGGTGGTAGATTTAAAAAAAAAATATGACTATTGATAAATGAAATGTAAGTTTCTTATGTCGATGAATAAATGATTTTGATTTTGATTTTGAGTTACATATTTTTGGTATTAATGTATAGTCGTTATTAATCGAGAATCGCGAGAAAGAATTTGAGATCAGTTTGTGTACGTATTTGTTAATTTAGTGAGGGCGTAAATTGATAGCAAAAAGAATAATATCATTTGTTGACTTAATGGTCGGAAAATGCAGTTGAGTGTTATTTAAAAAGAGGTGTTAATCATGCAACGTGTAAAACTGTTCAATAAACTGTGCTCATTAATTGACGATCAGCTATACCGGAAGGAAGACCGTTCTGAGCGAGTTAGGGTTGGCAACCGGTAAAATATTCTATCAAGTTTTAATACTACTTCTAGGTAGACGACAGGGGCTCTGTTAGGGTTGGCAATCGATAAAAAAGTTTAATCAAGGTTTTTATGTTACGACGCCAAGTGTTCGATCAGTCCGCTCGGGCGTGCTGTTAGGGTTGGCAACCAGTAAAAATGTTCTGTTAAGTTTTTATGCTAACATAACAAGGGCTCTATCAGTCGCTCGGGTGTGAAGCTGTTAGGGTTGGCAACCGGTAAAAATGTTCTATCAAGTTTTTATGCTACGACGCCAAGGACTCGATCAGTGGCTTGAGCGAGAAGCAGTTAGGGTTGGCAACCGGTAAAATAGTACTATTAAGTTGTAATGCTCCGACGCCAACGGCTCGAGCAGTGGCTTGGAGGAGCTGCCAGGGTTGGCGACGGGTCTCAGTCGCGGAGGGACATGTCGATGGCGGCGCCCTTGGCGGCCGCGCCCTCGTCCTCGCTGGAGGGCTGCGCCGCCGCGAAGCTGAGGAAGTGCTTGCCGAAGTCCAGCTCGGGCTCGAAGCCCGCCTCCTCGGGGCCCCTCTCGCGCTGCCTCTTGCTGTTCTCCACGAACTGCTTGAGCTGCTGCGGCATCGGGAACGAGGACTTGATGTGGCACCGCTTCATCCAGTTCCTGAGCGACTTGCGCGGCACCTTGTGCGTTTGGGCGGCCCTGCGGCGGGGAACACTTCATCAGTACTCCGTATCTGGTGTTACTTGGTTAGTTTTTAATAAGCGAATTGAATTTGACCGGCTTAGTGGTACTCTAAATTTAACTGTAAAAGTATTAAATTCTTTGCATCAAATTAAATTTTATTAACTATTGAACAGCCATGATATTTCTTTTCCTTATATCAAGAACCGGTTCGTACTTCTGCAGTATGTTACTTCCCGTAGGTTCGAAAAAATCCTAAAAATCCTATTCACTTTATTTATATAATAAAAATGGACTGTAAGACTGTGTATCGATAAGAGATATGTAAATAACCAGGTCTGATCCGATCGATCACCCGCTCACCTGTAGATGCTGCCGCCCTTCTTGACGTCCATCAGGGCCGCCCACATGGCCTCGTTGGAGTAACGCCTGTTGGGGTTGAACTTGCCCATCATGACGCGCTCCAGGTCCTTACGCGACAGGCCCGACGAGCTGACCTCCTTGCCCTCCAGGAACTGGTCCAGGTCCGACTTGAGCACCGTGTCGCCGATGTCCACGTTGCGCTCCCTGAAGATGGGCGGCCGCCCGCGCCTCCTCATCTGCGCCCTCTCCGCCCTCTCCGCCCTCGGCTTGGGGATCAGCTCCACCTCGGACTTGTGGCTCTTCACCTCCGCCCTGCTCTTCTTGGCTTGGTTCGCCTTCAGCAGGGACACCTCCAGCTCGCCGTTCTGCTCGAGCCACGACTTGTAGTAGTCGTTCTCGGCGCTCTTCTGGGCGCACGTGTCGTCTGTCGCGCTGTTCGTGTTGAGGCCGTACTTGGAAAACTCGCTCTGTATCTCGGCCGCGTTCATCTTCGACAAGCGGTGGACGTAGTCCGAGTTCACCTTGGCCAGGTTCTGCAGCCTCTCCTGGAAGAGCAGCTCGCTCTCGGGCTTCACCCGGATGTACGGCCGGCCGCGCCCTGGAATAGTTACGGCGATGTAGTGCAAGGGGCGGGGCAAGAGTGAACCATGAATGTCCTTTCAGGAGCAGACACTAGCGTTCGACAAATGACATGTCTGTAAGATAGAAATTTTTAAGTGTTACGTTGCCCTCAGCGGTGAAACCATTATGCGATTGCGGAAAACATTCATGGTTCAATTTCTACTGATTTTATCGATTAAATTACAGAAATAAGTAAAAAATAAATAAAAAGAAAACTCAACAACAAAAAACTACCAATTCAGGTAATTATCGTAAATCGGCCTACCTTACAGACATTCATTGTTCATATTTCTAACAATGTCCATTCACAATATGATCTTCGTTTTATAATGAAAACGTTTTCGCGCGCACGATATACGACCGTATATATATTTCTTTCCACGATGGCAACACCGCACGACGGGACGATCCGTTTTTTCGATATGCGACGAACGAAAATAAATATATATATAATATACATATACAAAATGCTGGTGACGTATAAAGAGCAAGTGACAAAAAAGAAAGTCACATTGCGAAAAAACATTGAACGTGTCGCTAAAAAAATGTTGGGAAATGATGAAGAAATTTGAGAGCGTCATTTCTGGCCCACCTGACGTCTGCCCGAGACTGCTGCCTGGTTTGCCCGATTCTTCGTCCTAGAAAGATATTAAAACGTTGAGAGAAGATCTCTTATTACGTGTTCGGCGGTGAAGGAAATCATCGTGAGGAACCCTAAATATTACGAAAATATGTGAAGTCCGCCAATCGGCAGTGGGGTTTCGTGGTGGACTATGCACTACTACTTTTTTCACATCACAGACAAGAGGAAATCTACACGCATCATATATACTTCACCTATTTACCTGAGGTTATTTATTTAATTACAACTTTTAATATGTTTACTAAGGTGGACTTGATCATCGGGATTATATACCAGTCAATTTGTAAATACATTAAACGTAACCGTTAACCATTTCGACGTAAAAGCAATTTAAGATTCCTTGGGAAAATATATGCTTATATACTACAAAAGCGGCAAAAAAAACGTGTCTGTTGTACGGGAGTCCAATTTAAATAATTTTTAATCTGTTTTCTAGTACCTATTTTTTGTTACCGCTGGGACAGAAACATATCATCTGTGAGAATTTCAACTGTGTGACTGTCACCGTTCATGAGATACAGCTTGGTGACAGACGAACAGACAGACAGACAGGCAGCCAGCCGTTTTACCCTTTTGACTATCACGGTACATGAGAGACGAGAGTACCTTACGGGCACGGAACGAAGAAAACGGTCGCGGAGAGCAGGTTACCTCGTTGTACTCCATGTTGTCGTTCTCCAGCTCGCCGTAGTAGAGCCCGTCCTCCTCCACCGTCTCCTCCTTGACGTCGGGGTTCCTCTCGCGGTCCGAGGACTTGCGCTTCCTGGGCCCGTTGGCGCTCGCGGCCGGGGCGCCGCCGCCGTTGCTGGCCGCCTTCTGGCCGGGCCCTGGCCAATGGCAACGGCTGCTCAGATTCGATTCCCACAGCGGCGACAATCTTTCAACGGTATAATTCCAAACGACGGAGAAATATCATAATATTGACGAGATATTTAGATCCGGTCGTATCAAAAACTATGTTTTTAAGACGAGAAGCCGAAGTATAAGACTTCCACTCCACGCCGGTCGTCTGTCAGATCGTGGTACTCCCCCGGACGGACCTGCCCATTCGTGCAACAGGGAACTGTTGCGTGGTTACAACCACAGTGTGCGCATGGCCCCTGCCACGGTTAAGTCTCTGTTGACTTGTTTTTCAACCGACTTCAAAAAAGAAGGAGGTACTCAATTCATGTGCATTTTTTTTGGTTTGTTCCCTCAGAACTTTCGACTGGGTGAACCGATTTTGATGATTGATGAGACGACCCGAATGACGTAGTCGGTAGTATACCTGCCTTCTGCGCCAGAGGGTGTGGGTTCGATCCCCATTACTGAAAAATGTTGTGTGATGAGCATAGTGTTTTTCCAGTGTCTGGGTGTTTATGTATGTATCATGTGTATTTATTTACAAAAGTATGTTTAAGTATGCCTATCAGTTTTCTAGTACCCATAGTACAAGCATTGCTTAATTTGGGACTAGAGAACGTTGTGTAAAAAGAATGTGTCCTAAAACATTTATTATTATTTATTTATTCTTTTATTTGAAAGCTGGTGCTTCCCATGTGGTTCCATATTAATTTCATTGGTATTGGATCTTGGGATCCGGAGATAGATTATAAAATGAATGCAGAGCGAGATATTCGAAGTCGATTTTGTTAATAGAATAACAATTTTCTTACTAACGAACTTATAATAGTCTGTATTCATTTCCTCGTCCTCTTGGAGTCGGTCAAGAATGGACTTGTTGTCCGAATGGTCGCTCACCGTTGGCGGCGGTGTCCCTGTGCGCGTTGGCCACCAGCGCATCGCTGGCCACGGTGAAGTCCTTGCCGTCGCCACTGGGCCCCAGCTCGGAGCTCAGGCCCGCGTTGTCGCTCGAGCACAGACCTTAAGCGAACACCGAACCGAGCGTTGGACAATCGTTATCGTTGATCGTAAATTAAATTGTTGTATAATTGATTCACATGAGAATAGGAACGTCAATGACCTCGAATGACTGCGATCTGTCGGCTGTCGAAGTCATAATTATTTATGACGGTAATGTTGAAATGAATACCGGCAAAGAGAAATATTTCTATGTTTTTACGACCAGCCGCTTGCCTGACGTCAACCCTCTTTTGCAAACAAACACCCAGATCCGGAACAATTATCTGTGGGTCACACGAATACTACAAGCCATACTACACTAGCGATGACAGCTCAGTGTCCAGGCGTTTGCATTTAATTCAATATACTCGAGCAACCCGAATTCGATCACCAGTGCCGGCACCAATGAAATTGTTAATTTCAAGGGCTGACTTATCACATGCTCAGCGATGAAGAAACATTTCGTAAGGAAACCTGCATATGTTCGAAACAATAACAAAAAAAAATAGTTTTCGAAGATATGTGAAGTCCGCCAATCCGCAGTGGGGTCGCGTGGTGGACTATGCCCTGATACCCTCTGTACAGAGGAGGGTTTTGCCCCTCAGTGGGACATGTAGAGCTCGTTACTTTATACAATTATTTGTCCCGTGCGGGAATCGAACCCACGACCCCTGACTCCGAAGCCAATAACTTAGCGATAGCGTTACCGAGTCATCGAATGCCGACAGGAGACGTAGTTTTAGGTCTTTGCCCCACCTCTGATCTGCAACGCCTCGGCGGACTTGAGTAGACTTGGCAGCTCCTCCTGGGTGACGTTCACCTCGCCCTTATACATGAAGTCCACCAGCGCCTGCATTTCGCTGAACCTGGAAGCAGCGGCGGTAAACGTGTGACTATGTGATTCCGAGACTCGTTTCCTTCATGGGATCCTTATGGAAACTACAAGAAAAGATTTGGTGGTAGTTATTTTTTGATAAGTGCTTTAATTAAGCCTACATTATTGAGAAAGTTTGACTTTTATCAAGTAAGTATCTGTCGTTATTCTTCAAGAACTCTTGTTCTTTGTGACCCTCAAACTCAAAGTTATTTTTTCATTAAAATAATCGTTAAAAAAACTCCCCCATCCAAAGGACTTTATGTGGGATTAGTTATGATATAGTTAGAGGCAGTAAACTTCGCATAAATGCAAAGAAAAATCTTGGCATACAATAATGTAACAGCAAAACGGTAGAACAATTTAAAAAGACAAGTCCCCGGAAAAGGATCTCGACAAGGATATGTTCGCGGTCATTTCAATAAGGTTTATTGCTATCAAAAGCGAGGTTCTCGTATGGCATTTTTTTTACAGAGCCATTCATTAATAGGCACGTAAATGGAGTCTTACAAGAATTGACACATAACCACTCACCTCATGTCGCGCATGAGCACAATCGGATGCTTGCAGGGGTTCTGCAGCAGCAGCCTCTCGAGGTATGCGGAGCAGGCGGAGAGCACCAGCTTGTGGCAGCGCAGCTGGCGGGACTCGCAGGCGAGGGTCACGTCCGCGAACTGCTCCGTGAGCAGCAGACGGGGGAACACCGCCTGAGGGCAGCATACCGTCCCTCCAAATGGTTGCCAAGCGAGCAGACGGCTCACCTGATGTTAAGTGAATACCGCCGCCCATGGACGTCTGCTACACCCGAGGGTTCCAGATGCGTTGACAACCTTTTGAGAATTGGACTCCGGCCACCTCACTCACCAGACGAAACGCGAAAGTATTATACTTCCACTTCACGCCGGTCTTCTGTGAGGTCGTGGTACTTACCCGGACGAGCCTGCCCATTCGTGCAACAGCCGAGGCCGCTGCGTGGCCCTACCACCGTGAAATGTCCCTCCAACCAGATTCATCCAACTTATTGTAACGTATGTGTATGCGTAAATAAGTATTTTGATTAATATTTAAACTTCTTGCTTTGTATTATGAGTTTCATTACTTTTTCATACTTTGATGAAGGTGGTCTCAAGCTTTTGGCCGGTAGTGTAACTTATCAGCTAAACATGCCAATTCGTTTTTTAAAAGTTTCGTTAACCCGCTTTCCACTGTATGAGACAAATATTTCTCTGAGAGTTAAGTATAATTTTACTATAAATTTAGGATTTGCTATGTATACATTGGTCACACTAAAAGTTTCCGGAACTGGCCACTTAATATTTAAAAAGTAATTACAACATTTGAAAATGGAACTCTTTGGTTGTAGAATGCAGTTTGTTTCATCTGACTATCAATTGTTTTTACATTCTGGCGCCATTTTAAAAATTGTGTGTCTACATTAACATGGATTTAACTCTGGAGGATTTTCGTAATATGATTTTCTACGATTTTATGTGTAATTTGACAGTTCAACAAAGTCTCGCTCAGCTTCAACCTGCTTTTGGCGCTGAAGCACCATGCCAGAGGACTTATTATAGCTGATTTGCGGAATTCAAGCGCGGTCGTGTCAACATCATTGACGAATCTCGCGATGGTCGCCCGCCCACCGCTGTGAATAACATACACATCAATGGTGTGCGCCGTATGATCGAAACAGACAGGCATGTGGCCTACCATAAGATTTGGGCATCATTCGGGCATGAGTCAAATACAATCAATTAACAACCATTTGGGTGTGAGAAAGCTATGCTCGCGGTAGATCCCACACAATTTGACCTAAGCTAAAAAACGGACTTGCTGCAATGCAATGCTTACCAGATTACTACGAAGGGATGTCAAATTTGGCGTGGGACATAGTAACAGGTGACGAAACATGAATTAATCGATATGAATCCCAAAACAAAGCAGCAATCGAGCGTTTGAGTCTTTCAAGATGAGCCGAAACCAACGAAAGCGGCGCGCCTGAAAAGTGCATCTAAGCGGATTATCGCTTCTTTTTTTAATAAAACTGGACACGTGGCTACTGTTGCCTTAGAGGATCGTCGTACCGTGAATAGTGACTGGTACACGACCATTTTTTTGCCGGTAGTTATTGACGAACTGCGTGAAAATAACCGTAAAGGCCGTATCATCTTGCACCACGACAATGCAAGTTCCCACATCCTGTAAACAGTCGCGACCTGGCACCTTGTGACTTTTTTCTGTTCCCAATTCCCAATTCCAAAAGTGATTTTCATCACCAGAAGAGGGTGTCGAAGAGTAAAAAAAACCGAAGAGTGGCACAAATGTTTGCAAAGTTGGTTAAATCGTATGAAAAAGTGCATTTACGCAAAGGGAGAACATTTTGAGAATCAATTCATTTTTAACCTTTAATAGTATTTTTTTATTCCTTCCGGAAACTTAGTGCGCCCATGTATTAATGCTACAGCCTTATAAAATTAGTATATTTAGATGGAAATTTTTATTGTTGATAAATGAAAAAACACTTCGGCGCTGTGGGCTTCGAACCTGCGTCTAGTAAGCGGCCGATGTCCTCACAGCGCGAAAATCTCGACATCATTGCAATTACTTCGTTCATTCGTCTATTCAATCTACGTTCGTTCTATTGCGTTTTCAGCAATGCTTGACGCATTCAGCGTGCATTCATTACAGCATGCAACACCTTACAAATTACATTCAACAATGAATATTTTCTAACGAGTTTGTGCGATATATACTGATTTTTTTATCCTTCGTGTCTCTGAATGAAACAGAATACAAATTATCACCACAAAAATTAATTTAGCAAAGATAATATGAATAGATAAAGATAAAAATGTCTCCGCAAAGGGATAATTTGGTTTTTTTTAATTGGAACAATAATATTTTACATATTAGTATAATATCTTTTTTTTTTAATTTTGAAACTGTTGCGGTTTATACTCATGTTCTCACATTGTCATTCTAAACGAAATAAAAATTTGCTAAGTATGGATTGACTGTACGACACGAATTATATTTAGCTAAAGATGCATTTATTGTGTAACATGTATAAGCTATATTTATTAATCGTGTTATGTTTGTATTGTTTTTATACTGGCATTATTACATCGCAGTAACACTTTTTTAAATAAAGAATTCACTATAGGGGGGAGACGAAGATAATAATGGCTGTTTCGAAGCGATTTATTGTATTTTTATAAGAATACTAGCTGACCGACTCCAACTTAAAAAAATGTCTAGGGTGGACTATTATCAATTAAGAGTATGAAAATAGATTAAGGCCGATTCTGAGACCTACTAAATATAAATATAAAATTTCATAAAAATCGATAAAGGCGATTCGGAGAAGTATGGCAACTAAACTTGTGATACGAGAATTTTATACATATAGATTTATTTCGAAGATTTTCTCACCTGTAAGTTTGTGTGATAAGAATTCCATCTCACGCAGAACTGTTGCGGCGGTAGCGCCATCTTCTGTCGGTGTCACAACTCGAGCACAGATAAAATATAAGAACTATAAAAACATATCTATCTAAATACTTAAATATCTTTGGCCGACGCTTACTCAGTCCCTATTACATTAATTGCACTGATGTTAGAAATAAATTGCACACGGGCTTTGTTTGAAACGAACAAGACACACAGAACGTCCACGCAATTGTTCTTTATCACAGCTATAATATTAAGTAGAAATATTTTAAGTACAAGGAATACTTATTTGGTTTTTATTTATAAGAAACTTTAGGACTAGACAGTATATATTTGTTTGTCGAATACTGGAACTCGCAAGTGTTTTATTTTGAATACCTGAAAAGAGAAAAACTTTATTTTAATTTGAGGTATAAAAATTATGTCGAAAGAACTCAGTTTATTGTTGTTATTTTTTTTAACTATATAACCAAGTAATCGGAAATAAAAATTTGAATATTTTTTTCTAAGTTAGTAACGTAACCTAAATTGCCAATAAAAATCTAATGGCTCCGGTCTATATCTCGTTCTAATTACTTTATTATGATTATAATGTACTTAATTGAATGTTTTGGAAGAAGAGCAATAATTATAGTTGACGTTGAATATTAAAAGCGTTTTGGGCCACAGGGCTTTATCGATTCGATCGTTTTACAATCTTCTATCAAATACTATTTTTTTTTTTTATTATTATCTACACTCTAAAAGATATGAGAATCAATACGACAGCCAAATAAAGCAAAGCGAGGTGTTTACGGCCGTGAATAAATTCTTTTCGTTCGGGGCGTAACGTTACATTGTCTGTTTACGACCGTTTCAAACGTCACCGTTTCAAAACATTTTCGTGTTGTGCAGGTTTCGCGAGGGAAGGCGGAAAACTTCCGGCGAGCGTGCAAGGGAGACGGCTGGTTGGAAAATTCCCAGTCGGCTATTGCGGGGGAAAAAAAGGAGTTCGAGCATAAAAATCGATATCGCTGCGAGGGGCCGTTTGACCCTAAGCGTGGGGTCTCGCGCGTTCCGGGTACTCGTGTTTACGTAAGCTTGCTGTAGGGTTACATGAGTTTTTCGGGAATGCTTATTCGTCTGCTCGTATTCTGTATGTTTGTACTGTGTACCCTTATATTCTGTTTATACGTTTGAACGTATTAAAGTAATAGCGTGTATTGTTATGTCATTGATTAGTTGTAGAATTGAACAAGGTGATAATTTATGTACTTAATATAGGCTCAAAACTGAATCTACCCATGATAGAAGTCATTTATTTACAGTTTTTTTGGAGTTAGACTATGGATATGAATAAAACCAATTTATAGGTACGATGTACCGAACTAAAAAAAATATGGTCAAATGAGAATAAAGACGTTCAAATCATTCCAAATTTGGACGCGTACAACGTATGATTACGTTGTACGCGTGTAAAAAGTTTGTAAATATATTAATTTATTAATCTTACATCCATTCATAACGTATCCCTAATATTATAATTGCGATAGCTTGTGTAAGCGCATGTTCGATCGCTTTACTGTTTCGAATGTAAGTTGAAACGGAGATAGTTCACAATTCGGACTGGCATACAGGATACTTGTCGTCCTATACAAGTCGCCGGTTTCGCTTCTCGAGGGCCCACGCGGGCGAGGCCGCGGGCAGGCGCTAGTATCCGACGGATCTGTCCCCCCGCCGGCGGCAGACAGAAAACGAGGAGGCCGCATTCGGAGCATTTGGCGTGCACGCCGCGCAAAGGGGCCCCAGTTGGTGCGGAGACGGGTAAAAAAGAGCGGCGACACGGTGGGGTCCCGGGTGCGTCGAACCTGAGGGCGCTCCCGAAATAGATGGCGCGGGGGTCCACCCGCCGGCCCACTGGCGCGTTTATATTTGGACGGGGCGCCCTGCGCTTGGGATTGTTCCGCCGGCGTCGGCCGCAACGCCGTCGATTTGAGACGCCCCACAGCGGCCGCGGATCCGCGGCTTAAGTGAGGCCCAACGGAGATTAGACACAAGCTAAAGATGAATGAATAACTGAAGTATGTAATTTAGAAAAAGTATTACAAAAAATAACTTTGACATCGAAAGTTTATGTGAAATACATGTTTAGTTTTACGCTGGTCACGACCTCTATAACCCTACGCCTTCTAGACCGGCAACTGGCAACGGTACTAATAGAGTCTGAGAGAATCAAAGTTGAACTATCGATATAAAATAATTCACTTTGAACATAAAGAACGATAACATTATACTGTGTGAATATATTCATGGAAAACTCCACCGTTTAGCATGCACAAATTCACATACTATAATTTATAAATTGCACGCAGAAATATCCAGATCTGTAAAAATTATCTGTGGGCCACGTTTGAACAATTTCATGAAAAATAGCTTACCCACTTGTCTAAAAATTTTGGTAAGTTTATGGGAAATTATACAAATATACCGTCGTCAGGATAACGTGTTAAATTAAGCGGGGTATTTATTATTCCATGCACTCGAAATGTTGAAAAGGGCAAATTAAGACTTACACGACGAAACGAATGAAATAACTCTATTAAAAAAAAAACAGATAAATAATTTTATTCGGCCTACACTAACTCTCTGTGCGGCTAGCGTGAATAATTTTCTAATTTAGTATGTTTGCAACCTACGGTTACATCATTAACAAAGGGTCAAATTGTCAATGAAAAAATCTATAAAATATTGAGACGTTGCTGACATACTACATACGTGTATTTGAATTAATTTTAAATATGCAAATAACATATTTCGCTAATAAATTATTATGTTTATCTTTTCAGATAAATAACATTGGAGTGTCTGTTTGTAATATTAAAATAACATATTTTACAATTTTTGACTGTCTGTCTGGTTGTTCAGGTTTTGACGGGACTTTGACTGGCAGATAGCTGATGTAATAAACAGTAACTTAAATTTTATTCATTTTAAATTCCACGCGGAAGAAGTCGCGGACACAGCTAGTATAATTAATGAAGCAACAAAAGCAGTACAACTTCCGTCCGTCGGTTAATTTAGATTACGACTTAAATTCTGTTCTACATTGGTACGTGCGCAGTAATTTACAATACATCTCTCAGGTGTCATCAAAACCGAAATGTCTTTTACGATATATAGATTTTAGAACTAAGACCTACATTTCTGACTGCGCTGAGCGGTGCCAAATAGTTCGCTTTCTTCCGCTTCAAGAGAGAAGACGCACAATATATGAGCATAGCAGACAGCTCGTCCGCTTTCGGGAACTGTTCGACATCAGAGGCTTAAGACGGCATCTCGTTAGGGTTCCGTAACCAAAGGGTGAAACGGGACCCTATTATTAATAGTCTCTCTGTCCGTCTGTCACCAGGGTGTATCTCATGAACCGCGATAGTTAGACAGTTGAAATTTTCACAGATGATGCTATTTCTGTTGTAACCAAAAACACTATAAACAGGATAAAAATATATTAAATTGGGGCTCCCATACAACAGACATGACTTTTTTTTTTTTTTTTTGCAGTTTTTATAGATAACGGTACGGAACCCTGCGTGCGCGGTACTCGCATTTGTTTATACGAGGAAGCAGGTGCTTCCATAAAATAGGCAAGCAACATGACGTTAACAGATTTAAAATCTGCCGAACAGTCACATTAAAAGACTGCGACCTTTTATAGCAAAATCTAGTTGCATATATCAGGTTGTAAGTATAATTTTGTTTGTCTTCAGTATTACATTATAGCTAGCGGAACCGACAGACGTTGTCCTGTAAACACGACTGAAATCCGAAAACAATTTATAAATAAAAAAATTAAAAATGTTGGCCGAATTGTGGATCCAAACCATTCTCGTCTCGATCTGGAGACACAAAAAATTTCATTAAAATCGGTCCAGCCCTTAGGAGGAATTCAGTGACATAACACGCACAGAATAATCAATATGTATTTAAAAGATATAAATTTTATACTAATATTATGAGAAGGCTTCTTTTCTTTAGAGAAAGATCGTACTAATAATTTACATCTTCGTTTCCTGAACTGAACTGAAGTGGCTCATGGAAATTTATGGGTCCGTGGTTAATTAAAAGTACCTGGAGGACCGAGCTTTGCTCGGTGTTTTTTTGCAAATTATGTATTTTGGAAATAAAAAAAATAAAAAATATAGAAAATGATCTGGTATAGAAAAAAAATAATTGTGTAAATGATCGTGATACGAACCACGGCTGTTTTGGGGCCGCCCGATTACCGACCGAGCTATTATAACATTTTATTTTGCGGCGAAATTTACTGTCATATTCGAATGATATTTTTCATTCCTTGAAAACAGGGATAAAAGGACAGTTTCTAAAAATAAAACCCAGCTAGATCGATTTATCGCCCCCGAATCTGCGCACATACTAAATTTCATGAAAATCGCTGGAGCCGATTCCGAGATTCCGATTATAGATATATATATATATATACAAGAATTGCTCGTTTAAAGGATAAGATTAGTTTTAAAGGTACAAGGGGTGCTTCACAAATATACATAAAAAAAAAGTAAAGTCACAGCCTATACATGTCCCACTGCTGGGCAAAAGCCTCCTCTATATAGAGGGTATCAGGGCATAGTCCACCACGCGGCCCCACTGCGGATTGGCGGACTTCACATATCTTCGAAATATTTTTTTTTTGTTATTATTTCGAAAATATGCAGGTTTCCTCACGATGTTTTCCTTCACCGCGGAGCACGTGATAAGTAAGCCATTAAAGTTAAAAACTTCATTGGTGCCGGCACCGGGGATCGAACTCAGGTTGCTCGAGTATATTGGATTAAAGGCGAGCGCCCGGACACTGAGCTATCACGGCTCACAAATATACATATTAAAACTTTAATTCAATAAGTGTAACTCTTAACTTATGATATTGTTCTGATGATCTTAGAAATTGTTTGATTTTTTAAAAATAAGCACAGCGATTCGAAGAATGGAATTAATTTTTAAATACAATATTGACAAAATATCTCATCAATACATGAACAAATTACGTTGAACAAATGTATTTATCAAGATTTTAAACATTTCTTTTCAACTAAACAACGTCTATTGAATTTTAAGAAAGAAGTAAATAAAAAGATAATACAAATTATGTTACGGAGAAATCAATACGTAAGTTATTTGCTATCCTAGTGACCCCGGCTCCAAATAGCTCGATTGGTGAATTCTAATTTCGATCAGCTAGGCCGTAAGCAAATTTAGGTACAGCAATTTAAGTAACACCACTATTGGGACAAGTCGATCTCCAAATATTCATGCTAAATTAATAATTTACAAACTTAGAGGCGCGTATTTGATCCTAATTTGTTGAAACATATTATTTCAGGGAAAACAAGTAACAATTCTGGTACGGCACGCAACATTCTTCGCTGTCGCACAAATGGGCAGGTCCGTGCAGGGTACTAACACGACCCCACAGAAGACCAGTTTGATTGAAGGGGAAGAGTTATATTTCTGCGTTTCGTCTGGTGAGTGAGGTAACCGAAACCAACTTTATTAAAAGGTGGAAATGAATCTACAACACTAACGCCCGGTTTCTGAAACACTGATCATCGTAGAAGTTAACTAATCAGCTGTCAAATGGCTTTTCAAATGTCATTTTAGTTGCTAAAAGGATGGTTGAACTCACCGAATTGATCAGAATGATCTTATTAATGATCAGAGTGATCAATTCAAAGAGTTTGACCATGCTTTTGGCAACTCAAATGACATTTGAAAAGCCATTTGACAGCTGATTAGTTAAGTTCTTCGACGAACAGTGTCTCAGAAACCTGGCGTAAGAGTGTTGGTAAATGGCCATGGGCGAGGGTTATCAATCAACATAGGGTGAACCGCTCTCTCACTTAAAAACTTATTATTATTTAAAAAATAAAATAAAATATAGGAACACAAACTGCTCATCTCAATGAAGATGTATTAATAAAGTCCGTGTAGTTCAGGACAAAGTAGGATATAATATAAACAACGTTATGATTGGCTTTACATATGCATCGATCAGTTTGCTAATACTAGACTACGCGAAATTTATTATAGAGTTCAGCCGTCTTATTATTAGGTTAATAATGTCTCACGAAAGTTTTAATAATTTTACTACGCGAAATGCTAAATTATGACGTTAATTAGACATAAAGCAACTCAACACGAAACGCACCCTCTTTTTTTTTTCACCCTCTTCACGCCTTCCTCCGATTACGGAGCGTTCAGATATATCATCCGTGATGAGGTTTTTCCATTTCGAATTGGAATCACAAGTTACGATGCGGCACTCTTAAGATTTACGCAACGTATGGCGTGGGAAACAATGATGTAGTGGGCTGTCACAGACTGATAAATCCACAACATACGTCGCCTTTGTTTGTTGTGTTCATTTTTTGTTTTTCTTCAACATTTTATAGAATTTCAAACAAAAAATGTGAATGTGACTCTACAAGAATATAACAAACAAACTAAATATTTTAATGTCTCAACTCATTACAAATATTGTTTGTTCAAAGTTTAAATAACTTACCTTGACGATGATAAAGTTATTGTTCAGTTTTTGAAGTCGGGAAATGTAAAGTTAGAGTTATAAAAAACAATAATGTACTCGAACCGTCTCACCTAATGATAGGAAATTGCAGTTTACAGCAAGTTTTATTAATACTATATTCCGAGCTCATTTTCTACCTTTACTCCTGATACAATACCTTCACGAAGATAATTACAAACGTATCATTAGCGATAAACTTCAGTTCAAACGAGTGAGTAAATTTATTATGTTTGTGGGAACAAATGGGCGGGTGAACATATGATGTGGGTCGTATATGGTATAATACTTAACTCAGGTCTTATGTGAAAACGTATTACTTCCCTGGCCTAGCCGTTAATAGCCAAAGCCGTGTTGCCATGCCGCAATAAAGTTGTAAATAATTTATTTGAATGAAGGCAATTGTTATTCAGAAATCGCATGCAACCTCAGATAACAAGTATTTTATTTCTCGCGATGTTCCTTACGTTTTGACGTCTCCGCAGGTAATGGAATCGGTACAATGACATCATTCTGCATCTCGTATTGTTGTTCCTACAATCGTTTATATCGCTACAACACTCTTCCTTGACTGCTCAATGACGCGTTGCATTACATCACGTGCTCAAATCTTTGCTCGTAAGATTTCAGGGCTTCGCATCAGATAATAACAAATCATCATCAATAATAATTAGATAATGATGATAGCAAGATGATTATTACGAACCTGAGTCTAATTTGATACTACATGCACTGGAGTAATGGCTGACTGCAGTCAAGAGTTTTGCTTTCAATTTATTAAGTACGAGTTGCTTCATTACTTTATGTAGTTACTGATTTCATCGATTTTAATCTGAGCAGAAATGCGCACAATTAACTTGTCTCTGATAAAAAGAAAAATAAAGTTCGTTTTCAAAAGGTATTCTTAATTACCTATATCCGATAAATTTTTATTATAATGTATAAAATCGTATATGTAGTAATGACAATACTTTCTCAATCACTGACGCACGGTTTTTGAGACACTGATAATCGTAGATGTTAACTAATCAGCAGTCAAATCGCTTTTCAAATGCTATTTGACTTGCCTTTAGACATTTTTGGCAATCCTTTTGGAATGTTAAACTCGTTGAATTGATCATTCTGATCTTAAAGATCATTCTGATTTGAGAGCTGATTAGTTCTACGATCATAAGTTCTACGATTATAAGAACTTCTACGATCATCAGTGTTTCAGAAACCGGACGTGACAGTCCTACTCGGTTCTCCATTCTGTGACAAATTCGCCAGCGTTTTTTTTTATTGACTTCTAAACTCAATCTGATTGTGATACAATAAATTGCAAACTATGTTAGGTATTTGAGGATAGTGAGTTCATGCAAGTCGAATAAGTTGATAAAATCGGTTCAGTTATTTAAACACAAAAAACGAATTTTACTATTTCATAAAATCGGTATAGGTTCAAGATTATAAAGAGGGTCCGGACCCCTTGGGGACTGCGGTCAGTAAACGAAAGTAAAAGTTATCTATAACATAAAAAGTATTTTTCTTTTCGTTCTTGCGAGTGTAGTTTGATCTAATGTAATTCTTTGAAGGTCTTTAAAGATCAAAGGTAAGTCTTGAACCATAATTCGCTTGGGGGTTCGATTTTAAGTTTTTTAAAGCTACGGAAAAGGCTTCAAAGGGAAAGATAAAGTTCCATAATTATATCATTTTTTCAAACTGATAAAACTTTTCGCCACGATCTATCTTATCGTGGATAACTAGAAAAAAATATTATTTTTAAGGTTATCAAAATCGAAATAATTTCTTCAATAAATCAAAATCTACCATCTTCTAGTTCTTATATAAATGTTTAACAATTAAGAAGACGTAGACTTTCATTTCGAAATCAACTAACCAAAGCCGCAGTTTTAACTAGGATTACATATTTACCCCTCAAGGATCCGCTTATAAAAACCCGATGTGACGCCAACGGACCTTTCGTTTTGTCGCTAGGCTCTATAATATATAACAGTCACAAGTAAACAGCCTGTCGTCAGTTGCCAACATAATTAAACGAGAATTACAGGCACCTATGCCAACTTATGACTTTTCTGTAGGAATACCAAATTTAGGAAGGAAAAATTTACAATAGAAGTTTTTAGGGGGTAAATTCAAAGCAAAACTTTCGTTAGGAAGTTTTTTGGTTTTGAATTTAGTGAATTTTAGTGGTTTTTTGAATTGCTTTAGGTGTATTTTTTGAACAGTTGGTAACACTGATTACAGGTGTTATTTAAAACTTGGCAACGCAGCTAAGTGACGAACTTCCTCGCCGCGGGTCCCCCGTTCGGACCTCGCTCGGTCGAATGAACAATGGATAGTTCCGTTCCGTTATTTGCCCCGAACTTATGTTCCCAGATCTTATATTCTGATAAGATTCTAAGATCTGGGAACATAACTTCGGGGCAAAAAGCTATAACTAAACTAAATGATGTTTTCGACCGTGAAAACGCATGCTTTAAATTTTGCTTTAAAATAATTTAAACCAAATTTAAAGCACGTTTGGTTAAATTATCTGTTTGGTTTATTAAGATTCCTTTACCAATTCGAAAAACGTAAACATAACATAGAAAATCACTTTCGCTATTCAGTATTTAAAAACGTTTTTACTTTATATTAGTTGTTTTGTATAAGTCGTTTGTCTGTGACCAAATTTTTGTCCTTGAAATTACTCATTTTATTTGAAATAATGTTTGATTTTTTTAGGCATTTTTAATTAAAACACATTGTATAAATCCAACCAGCATTTTCGTTACAATCCTACAGTTTTATGAGAATCTGGAATGGGCGAACATATCCGAACTATAATAAACGTCACGATTTTAAACTGTGTAGACATGTATGGTGTTGGTGCAACTTTTTAAAGAAATAGAAAAAATAAATCGGCTAAGATAAATGACATGAAACATGAAATACTTCACTGTCGTAAAACTCACAAGTGACCATGGAAGCTAAAATATTTTATGTGACTGGCAACACTTTCAATACCTACTCATGGATCGAGAAATACATTTTTTTTAAATTATTTTTTGGCTAACACCAATTGAATTCGCTGTTTGCGACCCGCATGTTGGCGAAAACAAAAAAAATATTCACTCAAATGTTTAATGGATCGAGGTTCAAACTCCTTTCTCGCGGCATGATTCCGCGGTCGAAGAACTTATGAACTTTTGAAAAAAAAAAGCAGTTTAATAAGTTGTAATTATTTCTTCTAACACAAAAAATGTATTATATTCTATTCATTGAAAAATAAAAACATTTTACGGATTTCATATTAATTTCTGTTTTTAACAATTCATAATGTATACATGAAATCAAACGAAAACCAAATTTTGTAACCGATGAAGAACCACCAAAATATGGCTACGCGTTTCCTCCTATATTTCGCAAACATAAACGTAAAAGTGAAAAACTATTTATTCTTCCGAAGTACTTATTGAACGTACGTGTACTAAATTACAAAAGAATCTTTTCAGTATTACACGATTGAATATGAAATTAGCAACGCATGTTATAATATGACGATAAAAAAAAAATTAAAAAATAATACTTTCACAACCTAGAAATACTAGTCGGGTAATAAAATGCAAATATAAAAAAAATATACGATAAAACGGAAAACGTTAGTGAGGCGCTTGTTGTCACATAAAAAACAATCTAACAGCATTATAATTAGTAAAATACAGCAATAATTCATTCCAACAATATTCATGACCGAGATGGATGGCTATTATAATATGGCTTCCGAGAAAATTAGCTATTTACGCTCTAGGCTCTACGTGCCGTTGGACTCCGGGCGGCCGGCGAAATGCACAGGTAAAGTTGAAACTTTATCAGCGATATATCGAATACATTATCAACTGACACTTCCACTCCACTTGTAGGTCACACACTGATGTCACTGCATTCGCTTATTATTAAATTACACAATTGCACACACCGAGCGGAACGTGAAACACATTTGAGAAAACACTTCGCGACGTTAGCGAGTCCCAAATGCATAAAAGTAATATCTTATCAGAATTTTTACGTTCCACGGAGCAGCAAACATTAGGCTCGGCCGTTTGACCGATAAAAAGGAGGACCGATGCAAAATAGGCACAACGCGAACTCACAGCAACAAGAACATTTAAATTGTTATAAAAGTATTAGAAATAAATAATAATGTGTGAGAAACGAAACAGAACCTACTCTATAATTGTCCGGTCTCATGAGCGGCACACGGGAGCCGTATGATGGTTAAAGCACAAAGCCAACATTTGGCCGATCCCAAAATAGTATATCGCAGGTCCCAACTAATGTTATAAACATTCGTGCATGGACGGCCTGACTCACACACGCGAGCCTCAAATAACAAAATCAATATTTAAACAATTACAGCGAGCGGAGCAGTGGCGTTAAAAAACAACTAGGCATAGCGAAATCGTCATGACCCAAAGGAAATGCTCGTCTATCATGCGCTGAAAAATGTGACTTTTCACGAAGACAACCTCTAATATGGAAAAACTACTAAAATTAGACGTAAAGATACTCACGAGCGCGACCCGCTGCGCGACACTACATCACGTATGCAATTAGCGGCGTCCGATGTTTTTTAACGATGGAAAATCGATAATTTTTAAGAGCACAAAATTGTTCATATTTTCCCGTCGGGGCCCCAGCTTTCCTCCCTCGGTCTCGGTCGTGCGGACGCTCAAAAATGAAAAACCTATTGGAAGGCAACTGTGGAACCGAAAGAGATGCATATACGTCGCCGATTGTAAATAACGACGGGGGAATCATAACAAACGAGTGAGACAGTGAATAGCCTCGGGTGAATTAACAAAAACAAAAATGTTACGTAATAACGACTTTATAATAGTTAATACTGTTTACATACCCTTTCGTACATTATATGCAGTCTTATGGACGTCACTTTAGAAATTTTTGCACACTCCGAAACATCGCGTATACATTTTGACGGCGAGCGATCACCCGTCACGCGGACGCCATTTGCAATAATGTGCAGTACTTATTGTAATTCTAGACTCTACAATACTCTACATGGTACAGATTTAAGAATATTGAAATAGTGGTGCTTGTTTTGGCAAATGTAAATAACTTTAATTATTTATGCATATTTTTCTAAAGATATATTAACATTTTATTTTTAAAATACGTTTGTTTTGCTAACTAGAATAAAAATAAATAGCTGTTTTTATACCCATCTTGGACAATGCATATAGCAACACCGATATAAAATTGGCGGCAAGCTTGAGTTTAAAATTAAATTGCTATCTACTTTTTTTGTACAAAGTTGTGATAAAGGTTTTAGATGAAACTTTACTGAAAATATATGTATTTATTAAATTGTTAAATATATGCAAATGGCTAATTAACGTGGAAGTTCATTAAAAGCAGTTTTATTATGATTGAAAAATTTGTCGTTATCTATGTAGAGTTAAGAAATAGGTTGTAGAGCTTGTCTTGTTGTGATCGTGTTTTTTTCCTCTTTCATCTTTTATTCTATGTTTATGTGTATGTATTTTAATTATTTCCAATTTTATTTTAATTCTTTAAATCCATACTTCCCTTATTGCATATAAAATAAATAAATTAATTTTAATTTATATTCACGCCACGGTTTGACTGGTACAGAATGCCTATAAGCGCATTAACGCTAGTTAGTTATTTAGTATGAATTGAAGCATAAAAATATAAATTAATTTTATTACAAAATAACTTCCTCTATTGTATGACGGCGTATTATGACTTTGTACATATAGTTAGAAGTTACTAGTATTTCGCAGTCCTCTTGATGAAATAGTTTGAGGCTCCTGTATACTCTAAGTCAATTTTGAATATTATAAAGAAATCATGAGAAATTAATGCTAGCGGAGAATATCAGTTCTATTTCTTATTACCGCGTAGATATATCATCTTGAAAGTGATTATATCACCTAGTCCCTTAAAGTAATTACTGTCGAGATCTATTCACTCTAACCTTGAAGGCAAATTATTATGTCAGGGGAAAAGGCTAATGCCGAGAAATTATTCTAATTGTTTGCCGAATGATAAGCGAACCTGGGATTTCGAAAAACATTCGGCAACATTCGGTTGTCCTATGTTGGATGGAGGTTAGTGGAATTTAATTTGTGGCATTCTGTTCACGTGCATTTCTCAACTCGTGTTTATGAGGTTAGGCACATTGTTCATAACAAATACAGAACTATAAATAAGTCCCTTCACACGGTCGCAACGGTAGCAATCTCGTTTTAACGATGTTTATAAAGGAACAATGATATGAACGAAAGAAAAACAAAAGTCAAAAATAGCTGCTTGAGTTCTTGCGATTTCTTACATGCAAGTGACAGTCAGATTTAGTACCAAGTATAATTAAGTCATTTAAGACTGTGTCTCCATCCGCCTTGTTAAGATTGAAAGAGATCAGTGTTTGCAATGAATCTTTTTTCGTTAAAAGAAAGAGCTGCCGTAATTGCGCTCTTGAAAAATTTAATCTTACACTACTTTACAACGAAAGACAAATGTCTATTAAAATATATCATCATCCAAAAGCTAAAGTTTTTTTTAAATATAGATAGGTACTTGCTAGAATTTTCAAAGGTTATATACAAATTAGGAAAAAAATAAAAGTAAAACAAAAATGTAATTAAAGAAGATCCTCATTTTACATATACAAATAGAAAACGACTCTTGAAAATTTAATGTAATGTAAGAATGTCTTACATTACATTAAATTTATATATAACTTGATTTTTAATTTATTTATGGCATCACAAAGCAGAACGACAATGTACTTAAATATTAATACAAAGATATTATTATAACAGTAGTATTATTGTCATTATTAACCGAATAGTTAACAGAAAATTTAATGGAGATACTGTTCATATGTACAAGTATTTGTAAGGCATACTTAAACTCGTCTTATTATTTACGTAGTCTTCGCTTTGAAAATCATGCTAATAACGAGAAAAAACTGATGTAATGAAGACGATAGAAGAAGTGCACAAATCAAAAAGCTGATATTTCATCGGCATCATAAATGTAATTAAACGGAATCGCGAACTACATACGTACGGTATCGAATTTCAGAGGTCAGTAGGGGGGGTGGCAAAAATTGAACAGCCTTTAGGCGGCAACTTTGTAAATCCGCCACTTTACTCGCAGTACATGTAATATAGTACGATAAATAATAAGAATTGAAGGTATGCTACCAACTACCATGCATGTCCCAAATTTTTGTCGTGGTACTCTATTGCGCCCGTCCAGAATTGACGCCATGTGCTTCGGCGTCGCTGGTACCGCACTAGTTGTGGCACTGTTGGTATTTTATGACAGACGAAATAAAAGACTTAACTGTTTTACGTGTTTATTTATTACATTATCATAAAGGTGTGGTTGCTTTTAAATTAGGATGTTTGTTAACATGGAATCGAGGTGACACCTGGAAAAGATATATAAGAAGTAAATAAATGATAATTAAGTGTAAGATAATACGCGATAATAATAATGTAAGATAATAGTGTAAGATAATTAAGTGTAATAATAAGTAATTTTAATAAATAAATGATATTTAAATTAATCTCATGGACAGGCTTGTCTGGGAAAGTACCACGACCTCACAAAAGTCTGTGTGAAGTGGTTATTTTTTTATTTTTTTATACTCATGCTTTTCATCTGGTGATCCAGGTAAACGGGGCACATTTTATTAGAAATCACACTGGCGTTGCAAATGTTTGTAGGCGGTATTAACTTATCTTTGTGGTGAACCGTTCGGTCGCTTTTCAACATTTTACGTGAAAAAAAAAAAATGCGTATGTAAGAAGTTATACTTCTTCAGCGTAATAAAAGAGAACTATAATATTTTATTCAGTGTGCCAGTATTATTTGTTTGTGAAAAGCGACATTGAATGCAATCGATAATGGTTTAACTAAACGTCAGAAGGTCGTTATTGTTCGTGACGTTAACACCACGAGGTCGGTGTTGGGCATCGTAAAAGTTCAGAGTTCCTTTTTTATGTGAGAGAGTGGCCACCCGTGGATATTTGCAACACCCGTAGGGTTGTCGTGTTCTACCGCGGCTTCCTAGAGCGTGAGCAGGTCGGGCGCGTTGCGCGAGAGCAGCAGCGAGGCGCCGGCCACGGCGCGGCACCAGGCGTCGAGCCGCTGCGCCAGCGCCGCCGCGCCCGCTCGGCCCAGCGCGCGCGGCCGCACCCAGCGCACGCGCACGCTCTCGCTCACCTGCGCATTCAACACGACGCGACTAGGTTACAGTGCAGCCGATGTTTATTGCGTGTATCACACGACCTCGGGCCCTAATACGACACTGCCTTGGTGGAATAGGTGGAATTTTTACCTAAGACTATCAATAAAGAAAGAGAGATGAAAAATAATAAATTTATTCAGCAAAAAACAAGGACGCGCGCGACATAGAATTAAATTTAACAAAAAGTAAAATAAATAGAAAATTATACCTCAGAATACTACTTTGAAACGAAACAAAATCATTCCATAATCCATATATAAAACAACGAAAAGTAACCTCGGACAAAAAGTATTTCGGTAAAGAACAATGGCGAAATCTTATTTGAGTAAAATTCTAGCGTCTAGAAAAGATACATTAACCAAGAATATTAAAAAAATATCTACATTTTATCAAGTTATCATTTAAAACAGTTAAGGCTGGAAATAAAAAAATAATTATTATTGATACTTAATTGATTGAAATGATTAATACATATCACTTTAGTGTTAAAACTTACATTTAAAACTTTTTCCTTAAATATGGTAGATATTTAATTGTTACATCGCTTTCTTAAAATACAACTTTAAAAGTCTTTGAATATATCAGTTTGACGGAATTAACGTTTTACGTTATATTATTTATTGCTTTTGATTATTTGTATATTATATTATATAGTGTATTTTATTTAGTTCCGTTCCGTTACAAAATCTTGTTGCGAAATAGCAAGTAAATGAAGAAATTTTATGGCAGCACTGAAACTGTGCTTTAGAGAAGCGTTGGTAGGTATTTGACTATGCCTTGACATTGACACATTGACAGACGTTTACGCTCTACCGTTCGCTGTTGTTGCTTATTTGATTGTTTTCCGTTTTTTCACTTGACCCGGCCTACTAGGACTCTGATAACTGATATTTTCACTTGTGACCCATACATGCCTAAGGACTCCGATAAATTCTTTGACTGTGAAACAACTCTCTGTAATTATAAGAGACGATGATGAAATAAACTTGGCATAGAATATGGTTGTTTATTGATCCCTATTCCTTCTGAAAGTATTTGAAAATTCTCGCTTTAATATCTACATAAATTTTTCTAGACAACTTTGAAGGTTTTATAGCTAGAAATGCAAGTTGGTTATTTTAAATCCAGAAAAAAATAACAAAATGCTTTGTAACACAATCTCTCTTAGATCTACAAATATGTATTGGATATAACCTTCCTTCATTATTATACACAATACATATTCACTATTTTCTGACATTAATAACCTACAAAAGATCAAAACTGAATATCTCATATTCTCGGCCACCTGTAAACAAAATTCTTGCACAAAGAAATTCGTAATTTATTGCAGAATTTAATAATATATTTTTTACTCATAGTCGTAACAATTTAATTTGAAATAAAATTGTGTATGGAAGTTCGCCATTGTTCTTTAGTCAGCAGATCACTATTATGCTGTGCCGGAAGTCAAGACTGATTTTCAGTTCAAATTCAAAATATCTTTATTCAAATAGGCAGTAGCGATCGATTTTACATAAAAATTATGCTATAGGTACAATGTACCCTAATTTTGTGTATTGTCTGTAACCAAGATTGATGTTTTGCTTGTCCGTCCACCCAAACGGAGTACCTGGTCGATGTGTCCACGGATGAGCTTCTCTGCGAGGGCCTTCATGACGAGCAGCTCCACCTCGTCCCTGGGCACCCTGGCCTCGCGCGCGATCTCCGCGAAGCTCAGCTTGCGCTGCGTCGAGCTGCGGTTGAACGCCATCTGGGGAGTGCATACACACTTTCTCTTTACTACGAGCTTGTCTTTTTATTTATGAACTGTATACAGTTTCTGTCTCTTCACTATGAGCTTAACTTTTTCATTATGAACTGTATACACTTACTGCCTCTCTACTATGAGCGTGTCTTTTTCATTATGAACTGTATACAGTTACTTTCTCTTAACTATGAGCTTGTCTTTTTCATTATGAACTGTATACAGTTACTTTCTCTGTACTATGAGCCTGTGTTTTTCATGCTAAACTGTACACAGCAGGGCAATTACCGACACTAGTTTTACTACAAGCCTGTCTTTCTTGCATTGTTACATTTTTTATCATGAACTGTATACAGTTTGACGATTGCAATTTTTACAGACGGAAATTTTAAAATTCTCGATAGATAATTTTGGTCCTAAAGGGGTACCTATACATTTTTGGGGGACAGTTATCGATTAGTAAATCGATAATGGTATGCCTTATGATTTTAAACTTTTTAAATTTGAAATTAAAATTCAAAAACTAGTATAAATTAAAGTTAGTATACGCTACATAAGGTATACTGATAATAAATAAAATGATTGACTGAAAATTGTTTCAATTGCCAAAAACTGCTGACGAAAAAATTTTTATTCAAATACACCAAATTATTAGCAACAATAACATGCAACAGGAGAAACATAGTAAGCGATCTGTACTGAGAGATCAATATTACCACGCACCTCACATGTAATTCCTCAGGCATCAACACATTTTGTACTGCACAAAGATTTGGTCACAGTTATAAGGCACTTTTAAGTTTTTGCATGCACTGTAAGTACAAGATGGAAGGAACATACCTCCATTAGGCACAAGATAGCAATTTTCTGGCGCAACTGGCGATCGGCTTTGTGCAGCTCTGGGTGTGGGGCCTGTGCGCTGTCAAACAGATTGGGCCATTGTTTAGGTTAGGTTGATAGTTGTTTAAAATGTAGATAATAGTTGTTTGCTTTTCACTGTCGTAGGTAACATAACTTATTGTTAATTAAAAATATATTCACCTTACTTACTAAAACTCAAAGCCAATTTGGAATAACATTATTTAGCTAAGTGCTGTGTATTTCGAATTTTGTTTCAAATAAAAATAAAATGAAATAATGTTTGACAGGGCCAACACTTAATCTTATGACCTCAATAAAGAAAAACAAGTGTGACTGTACCCTTAATCAAATGAGACAGTAAAAGAAAAGCGTGGGAAAAATTAAATAATACCGAATTTATTGTTTTTGCAAAAAACATTGAGGAACTTGTAAGATGTGTGAGATTTAAAAAATAAAGTCAAATAAATTGTCCACCACTTCCATGTTGGCTATATCACCATATACCAACTGTTTCTAATTACAAAATGTAATAGAAAAATTTCTTATACATATTTGTTTTAGATGAGTTATAGATGTTTACACCATGCAAATAATATTACATGGTAGTGGAGTTACATATACTGGGCACCCACCGAATCTTCTCGAAGGCGACGATGTCTCCGGCGGCTACAGCCTTGACCAGCTCGCAGGCCCACGCATCGGGTGTGCCCTCCAGTGACTCCAGGATGGGATGAGCCAGCTGATTGATTGGAAGGGTTTTTTTTATGTGAAAAGTTGCCATGGAGCAGATGGTTCACCTGATATTAAGTGAAAACCCATTACCCATGGACATCTGCTACACCCGAGGGTAACAGATGCGTTGACAACCTTTTGAAAATTGGGCTCCGGCCACCTCACTCACCAGACGCGCGAAAGTATTATACTTCCTCTTTACGCCGGTCTTTTGTGAGGTCGTGGTACTTACCCGGATGAGCCTGCCCATTCGTGCAACAGCCGAGGCTGTTGCGTGGTGCTACCACAGTTAAACTACTTTTGGCGCGTTTTGATAAAAATTATGAAGTTATAATTCTTTTGGCAAAAATGATATCAGTTAATTTTTATGGTGCGTGAAACAAATAAATCTAAATCATTTATTCATCGACATAAGAAATATACATTCCATCTATCGATAGTCATAATTTTTTTTTAATCTACCATGGTTTCGTAATGAGGTTCCTCTTACCAATAACATTCGGCGAACAAAAACATTTTGATATTTACCTATAGTTCAGACTTATTAAATTAAACCATTATCATTTAGTTTTACACAATGAGGTATAAATGTATGAGGTATGCGTAACTGGCATGGGGTATAAAGTTTTTAGTTATTTTCCTTTTGTTAAGCTTAAGAAGCTTCTTGGTAAATGCGTACATAAGTACACAAAAGATTTTTGTTCTGAGAAAAACAGCTGCAATATATATTAGAGGACAATTTGGGTATGTAAAAGAACTTCATTTGACGATCCGATAGGCTCTATCGCCGCTACTCGAAAAATGTTTTGTGACAAACATAGTGTTTTTCTTATGTCTGTGTGTTTAAACATGGAAAAAAAAGTAAACTAACAGTCAATATATTTCTCATTGCTGGGCATAGGCCTACTTTGTACAGAGGGTTTTAGGTTATAGTCCTACCTTCATGTGATGAGTCAGCATTTAAAATTGCACCAAAGCATTTCATTAGTGTCATCACCGGGACTATACACTGGTTTAAAACCGACCGGTCGGCCACTGAGTCGTTATGTGGATGTTTTCAGCTTTGATAAATACAAATAAAACATTTCGGACACATTTCTACACGACGTCCTCTACTCCGTGCTGTACTAGAAAACTGACAAACACAGACATACAGACACCCGGACACTGAAAAGCACCATGTTCATCACACAATATTTCCAGTGGCGGGTGTCGAACCCACACCCTGTGACGCAAGAGGTAGGTACCAGCTCGCCGAGGTCGTAGACGGTGGGCGCGATGACGCCGGCCAGCGCGAGCCGGAGGGCGCAGGCCCGGCGCTCCGCCACGGGCAGCTCGGCGCCCCCGCCCGCGCACCCCACATAGCGCAGCGCCGCCCGGTAGTAGCTGTCCATCGGGCCGCGCACCCTGCCGAGCGGACGCACCTTTCACACCTCTAGCTCTCTCGTATCGACATGATAAGGCATTAGTTACATTGCAGATGACGTTTTTTATATATCTTTTATGATTCCGTGGCGCAGTGCCTAAGGTCTTAGCTTCGGCGTCGGAGATCGTGAGTTTGATTCGCACACGGGACAAATATTCGTGTGTAGATTGTTTTAACTTAGATCATTTTTAATTTTACTTCAATTGCGTGCAAAGTTTACTCTCGTTTTTTTATTGTGAAAAAATGGTTGTTGATGTCAAGTGATAACCAGTTTGCATTCTAAACATTAAATAAATTTACTATTTTTAATAGTCTGTTATTTTTAATAGTTTTTTTATAGTTGGCTCAATATTTCTAAATTGTTTCTAAATAACTGAATTTGCATCTCTCTACTTCAGTTAGAGTTTATACTCACCTATAGTATTCAGAAGCCAACTTATAGAACCTGCCATGTACTGGTGTGACCCCCTCCGCATCCTCTAAAGTTTGCTCTAAATACTCTATGATTTTCTCCGTGGCATCCAAGTCATTAAGCTGTTCTAGATGTATCTGTCCCTGTAAAACCTGTAAATACCAAAAAATTAAAACACAAAAATAAGTATTAATTATCAATATTTTAAACTTTCAAGTACCAATATTAGGAAGAATAGTAACATGTAATAGAATATTCACAGTCTATAATAATTATCAGCTAGTTTGAAACATCAACTTAAATCCATTAAAATTGTATTTACACTTCACTGAAAACATTTTAAACAAGCTTTATAATAGGTGAACAAACATTAACTTGTTTTATTGAGATAGTAGGTGAGGAAGTTTTGAGTTATGTTTAGACCAATATGATTCAAAGTAAAAATATTTTTAGCTAGCTCCATACACATAAACTATAATACCCTTAGTCAAAAAGATGTTTCCTTCTAATCGCTCTTCAGAATTATATTTGTGTTATCTGTGGGTAAATATTACTTTTGTATAAATTGCAATTTGGCAATAAGCAAATTGTTTTTAAACAGTAGTGGATAAAAATCCTTAAATCTTGTGCAATATTGTTTATTTCTTACGATATGTCAAAACTTATAAGCCTGCTGTGCCTTAAGGCATCTTATTTGGTCATGCTGCAATTCAAACATCAGCAGTAAATATCAGCATTAATCTTTGTGAATATTGAAGCTATGTACCTACCTAGGCAAGTAACTGTGGAGCTATCCTTTTTTTTTAGTGAAGCAATGTTAATTTTAAGACATTATATCTTGGAATTTGTACAGTTAGGATAGCATTTCTAGAAAAATTGTGTTGGTAATCAAAATTTATACCTTGCAAAGACATACTGCCTCATCATTAATGTGAACCTTTTTCTCTATCTTCTCTAAAAAGGCAATTGCCTCTTTTTTATCTTTGAATTGCTGCACAATATGAGCAACAATTTCTACTAGAGACAATGGGTTAATCCTGTAATTGTAAAAATGATGACAAAATGTCAATTTCATTAAGGTAAGTGTTTTCGTACAAACATTAATTTGGTAATCCTCTAATAATTTATCAAGAACATCATGTGGTGAATTGTTTTCCATTGGAATAAATAAAATATTAAACCTAACAATATTAGAAAACAACTAACAAATTTGGTTAACAAACATGGTTTGCCTTTTATGAAAATAATATTGTTAATTTCAACAAACATTGCCCTTACTTTGGGATAATATTAAAAACGTGTTGTAAGGACGTTTTTACAAACATAAATTTGACGCGGATAAACACCCAGATGCGGAACAACTATCTGTGTCACACAAATAGTTGTCCCGTGTGGGAATCGAACCCACGACCCCCGACGCCGAAGCCGGTACCTTGGCGACTGCGCCACAGTCATATTATAATAATATTACATGAGTTTTTTTGTGAGAGAGGTGGCAAGTAAGCAGACGGTTCACCTGATGGTAAGTGATGACCGCCGCCTACATCTGCAACATATTCTGCAAATCCATTGTCACTTTCTAATGAAGTGGGTCTGGGTTACCTCACTCAGCGGACGGTGACATTACACCGGTGAGTTCGTAGTACTTCCCCGGACGAGCCCGTCGCCCTATTAAATTTATTTCATTAATTTGCTTACTTTGAGGTTATATCAGGAATAATCGAATTTGTCGCTAGTACTAAGTTTAATTTTACAGCTAAAGGATTGTAATGCACCGTGATTGCATTGTTTTTATTATTGGTACAGTACTATAATAATTCCATCTTTATTAAAACTGTGACAGGGGTGAATGTACAAACAAAGACAATGATTTGCAAAAAGTACTTACTTATTTTCGAATACCGTAATAAAGTTGTTGTACAGTTGTATCAAATTGTCGCCAGATTGTAGAGAGGGGTAATTTACGAAATCTTGCAGTTTTAAAGTAACTTGATGCCATAATCTGAAAAACACAAGCAAATCATAATTAAGTAATTTAGTGAAGAATGTATGGTAGTTGCTCATTAAATGTTTTACAATACTTTTTATTATAAAGCTCTTCCAATTTTGCCCAATCTGCAGCTAATTCTGGATCTGCTGCTTGTTTTTTTGATAGAAAATCGTTCACATCAACAATAGCGAACTTTACGGATGCCATCTTTCAAAATTTGTTTCGCGTAATGGTGTGAAGTAAGATATAAATTGTTAGTAATAGTAAGTGACACTGACATTTGATTATTCGAAATCCAACCTGAAGTTCGTTTAAACAGACCCATCTAGTAGTGAGTAGCAAAACATTTATTATGGTTTATACAAACTAGATGGCAGTAGTCGTTATTAATAGTTTGAATTTTTCAAATTATGTAATACAATGGACGGCTCCTAGTCCCCATACATTGTTTATTTTTCCAATTTTCATTTGCACATATCGCAAGTTCGTCGTTTGTTCTTGATTGTTCGTTATAAATGATAGGTTCTATAGATATAATGCCTTATTTTTGATTAATTAACAATTTCTATTTAGCTTGATAATTGTTCATAAACACTTGTGTTGAGCATGAATTCATATGACCACTAAGGCGTTTAAAAATCACAGTCACTATATTTTTATGTCATATATGGATTAGATTAGGTGTAAAGTGAGTCATAGATCTGACACAGAGCACCTAAATTCCATGTGGTCTTATGGCCCCTAGAGTCAATATAAAAATGCGGAGCCAGAAGCTCGCGTCACAGATTCTGAGTGTAGCAAGCCCGCGAGGCCAAGTGGACTGACTGTAGGGGCGAGGTCCGTAGCGGAACGAGTGAGCGAAGCGACACTTAGGGGTGACATAGCGACAATTCTGCGAGAGCACATGGAAGAGTCTAAATAAAGTAAGTAAAGAGTAAAAATAATTGAAAAACTAATTTTAAATCAGCTCTTAGTACATTTTAACATGAACAAAATTTTTCACAATGAGCAATATGGATTCACTAAAGGCAGATAGACAACAGATGCAGGTGTCGCACTTGTAAAACATATTTATAACGCCTGGGAAGGGTCGCAAGATGCATATCAATAGGTGTTTTTTGCGACCTTTCAAAAGCTTTCGACGGCGTGGATCACAAAACCCTCCTTCAAAAGCTTGATTATTATGGCATTCGTGATATCGCCCTCAATCACATTGCCTCTTACCTAAGTAATAGAATTCAAAAAGTATCTATAACTGATGTAAATTCCGCAGGGTCCCCCATGAAAATGGGTGTCCCACAAGGATCAATCTTGGGCTCATTATTATTCTTAGTGTATATAAATGATCTCCCCTTTTATGCCAGTGAGTTATGTGATGTTGTACTGTTTGCTGATGACACATTTTTAAGGTTGACCGAAATGTATCGAATTATGACGACGTGAATAGTGCACTTTCACGTATCCTCCACTGGTTTACCATTAATAATATGGTGTTAAATGCTAAAAAAACTAAATGCCTTCTTTTTGCCCTTCCCAGCGTAAGTAGGCAAAGTTTTAGCTTAAAATTGAATAGCGTAACCCTTAATCCTGTTGAGTCCGCTGTATTCTTGGGAATCACAGTAGATTCAAAGCTCCAATGGAGTCCCCATCTATCATCTCTTGCGAATAGGTTAAGCTTCGCTGTTTTTGCAATTAGGAAGGTTAGGCACCTATCAGACATCGACACTGCCAGACTTGTTTACTACAGTTATTTTCACAGCATCTTGTCGTACGGCATTTTGTTGTGGGGTAGTGCATCTGATATAAATTCAATATTTATTCTTCAAAAAAGAGCTGTCCGAGCAATTTATAACATCGGAGCCCGAAATACACTCAGAGATCTTTTTAAAGATATTAATATACTCACTGTTGCGTCTCAATATATTTATTGTAATATTTTGATAATTATTAATATTATGTTTGTATGTTAAACATAATATTAATAATTATCTAAAGAATAGTGACAGACATAAACTAAATACTAGAAATAAGGACAAACTAACTACGCCATTGTTTTGTCTACAAAAAGTAAACAAGTCGTTCATGGGGCAAAGTGTGCGCATGTATAATAAAATCCCACAGTCGATATTAAGTCTGCCACTTCATGAATTTAAACGAAAAATTAAAAGTAAAGTTATGGCTAAAACCTATTATACTATTGCCGAATATCTTGACGACACCAATGTGTGGGGTTAATACCGTTGATACTCACGTAGGCTAAAACAAGACTATTGTACCTGCACTATTATATTGTAAACTGAGCTTTTAAAAAAGAGCAACTGTTGAGTTTCTTGCCGGTTTCTTCTCATCAGAAACTGCTTTCCGTACCGGTGGTAACTTACGAACATGTTAATTTCTTTGTAAAATTTTGACGTTTCATAAGAACGCGCAAGCGTCTATGTGAATAAAGATATTTTATTATTAAAAAAAAAAAGAATTATAATATACAACAATAAGAAACGAACAATAAGAAACAAACGACGAACTAATGGTATGTAAAAATAAATATTCAAAAATTATTCAATGGCTATTTGATTTTTTTATATTGTGTTTAAAATTAAAAGTTTTTTCTTCGATTTATAGTTAATGTAAGTGCCTGCTACTTCGTTATTAAATTACGAGCACACATAATAAAATAATTTTTCATCATTATATCTTTTCTCGTGCAGGCATCGTTCTGGGCAATCATAGATCAAGATAAAATTCAACTGTCAGACTGTTTGTGTTAAGGTATAACACCAACCCTCAGAAAGCGGCAAAGCATTTAATCTTGGCAGTCAATAAAAACTTTTGAAATTTACCAATAATTCCAAGTTATTTAAATAAACGGTTATCAATTGCATTTAATGTCTTTACGATAAATGAGTACCTTTAACTTCTTACGTTCTTCTTACATAAGTACTACACACATATTATTTAGGGTTCTGTGCCCAAAGGGTAAAACGGGACCCTATTACTAAAACTCTACTGTCTATCTGTCAGTCTGTCAATATCTCATGAACTGTGATAGTTAGACAGTTAAAACTTTCACACATGATGTATTTCTGTTGCCACTATCGCAACACATGTTAAATAAAAAAATATTTGTGGTAATCCCATATAAGATATTATTTTTTTGTCGTTTATTATACATAATTGGTACCGAACCTTGCTCGTAATTGACCGGTTTTTTTTAGTAGAGTATGTAATACCTAGGTCTACATATTGGAGTTAATGGAGTTTTTGAGTGTTTTATTTATCAGAATGTGGCAACAAATTATAATGTCATATCTTAGCATCGGAATATATACTTTAAAGTGGAATACTCTATTCTAGACTCGACTCTATTAACCAATTATATTTTGACTATTGAATTATATGGACCTACGAAACAATATTAATGCTTCTTTAAAATTTTAAGGTCAACTTTTTTATATAGCTTTTTTTATATTTTTATATTGCTAAATTTTTATTAGATTTCCCGTCCGGGGCGAATCGATGCAATGTCATCTGGTTGTAACGCTGACCTTGTATCTTCTACTTTATATAAACAGAAGTTAAACCTTTTATAGGCCGGAAACCAACGATATTATATACAAATACGAGGTATATATGACGCCACGCAGTATGGACATGCCTCATCTATATTATTGCCGAAAACTATAATTATGAAGATTGATATAATACCAAACTCGTGAAAACCTACTTTCCACGGGTTAGACGGACCCTATGTAGAGTTACGCATGTGTATATGCGGGCACTGGAGTTGGACGGACCCTATGTTTAATAGAGTCATGCATACACATGCGGGCTGGCTATGTGGTGATATCTGTCGCTATGCAAATCGTACCACCGACGACCTATTTGTTCCTTTTTCAAGAAACAACGGCTTAATCTCTTTAGGGTTATGTACCCAAAGGGTAAAGGGGACCCTATTACTAACACTTCGCTATCATTGTCCGCCTGTCACCAGGCTGTATATCATGAAGCGTGATAGTTACAGTTGAAATTTTCACAGATGATGTATATCTGTTGTCAGAACAGAATAAAAAAATATTTAAGTGGGACTCCCATACAACAGATATGATTGTGGTTTTATAGATAATGGTACGGAACCCTTCATGCGCAAGTCCGACTTTTTGTTTTTTTTTTAATCAAAAAATTTTGATGCTATTCGAAAAGAAAAAAGACCATTGTCGGTTAATCTTTCGCGTATGAAAACACAGGAAAAATCCACAAATCTCATCTCATCTCAAACCCGAACTTTTTCCAACTTCATTTTTATAACTTTGTTCGTTTGGAGGTTTTGTTCTGCCTAATTATATTTGAAACTTAATAACAATTGACTAAATTCTGAATTATATCTTTGCGATTTCTAAACGATCTGTGCCGAATTCACTCGGTGTTAAAACACATAAAAATTGATAGCCCTAATCAAACAGCACCACGCCAGGTGCGTGACTGAGTAAAAAAACCAAAAAAGGAGTGCAACACGACAATGGCCCGTACCCAACCCCTGCAGCGCAACTGCACCCTTTGTGAACGGTTTTGTTGTAAAATAACGCTTTTTACACAGTTTTTACGTTAAACTCCCCGTGTATATTGTATTTGGGCACTCAGATGTATCATATTTTAAAAAAAAAAACTACTCTTCGTCGTAGGGTTTACGCAAAGGGGAAATACACCGTTTTGAACAGAAAAAAAAAGTGTTGCCAATATTTTGTTCCATCTTTTTTGTATTTGTATCAATTGGCATTGTCGTGTTAAACTACTCGTAAAGTAAAAGTAAAGTAACAGCCTATATATTATGTCCCACAGCTGAACAAAGACCTCTGTAAGGAGGGTAGACGGTAGCAGGGTACACTCCTGCGGATTGGCGGACTTCATATATCTTTAAAATATATATTTTTTGTTATCATTTCGAAAATATGCCAGTTTCTTTATGATATTCTCCTTCACCGCACAGCACGTAGTAAGTCAGCACTTAAAATTAACAATTTCATTAATACAGGCAACCTGATTGATTGAACTCAGGTTGCTCGAATATATTGAATTCAATGCGAGCGCCCGGACAATGAGCGATCACGGCTATTTAACTGCTCAATTTTATATTTTGTATTATTAGTCTTCTAAGAGTTGGGTATTTCGTTCGTTCAGTTTCAATCGTATGATGTGAACTAGCCCAATGG